GGACGCGAGCGGCGCGGAGATCGTGTCCCGCGCACGCTACGAGCTGGCGTTCCTCGAGGCGCACATCGAGAGGAGATACCTGAAGCCTCCTTTGGTACAGAGGTATGCAGCTAGGTAACGTCAACATATCACTTACGTTGGTTTGGCGTGGACGCTTTGGTGGTAGTGTGTTAGTTGTAAGGTAAGGTTTTGATTATTTAGCGATTACCACTGCTGTAACACTTGTATGGAAACATGTCAATCACAATCAGATATGTTTTAATACAAGTGTTATGGCTGTATGCGGTTGTATGAAAGAGTAATGAAATGCACTGAAGTGATCCTTTTTTGGTGGGGGAGGGGGGAATCCTCCAAAGATACCTTGCCCTCTGGGGAAAGGCAGGCAGGGTTATGTAGGATTTGACCCACTAAAACTATTCCCAAGTGACATAGTCGAAGGTTCCGGCATCTCCAATGAACACACTGGAACCTTTTTACTGATCAGTCTTTATAAAAAAATAGAAACACATTTTTTGTTGGTAATGTTTAGGTACATATGCCCATAGATATAAAGTAAATACATGGAGTAGGTTCCTTAGACAAAATTTTTGAGACTTTAATTTGATATTTAATAAACATGGTGGTGGTTTATTGTAGCGTGTTTTGTAGATTAGTAAAAGTGTGTGGGTTTTTAAAATATGAAGCATGAAAAAAAGTGTTTTCTCCAACATGGTGGATGAGACATGTGATTTGTTAGAGGTTTTCACGCACGTTTGAATATAGAATAATAAATATATCTGTTATTTAGTTAAGAATACAATACATCATATTTCTTTCTAGTAAAATGTTATATTCAAAAGTAAAAAATCTTATATTTTATAAAAAGATCGAACATTCTTTTGAATGTGTATTTAATAAATCCATCGCGATATATTTATAGAGTAATATTAACATAAATAAATGAAATAATTTGTATGCAGCAGTACAGAAGTGACATTGGGCGCGATACTGCACGGCGAGCGCGGCAACTCCTCCGTCACCTCGCCTCAGAACACTGAAACCAGTGAACCGAAAGGTAACATCATTAATCAAATACTTTTATTAACAATAATTACTCAAATGAATCTATTTTATATCTAACTAGCTGAACGCAAAAGTTAAATTAATGTAAATAGTTTAAAGATAACCATTTTATTAGATAAAGGATAGAAGGTTAATTGGCCTTATTAACCTTGTATCCTATTTTAACTCCGAATTTCATATTTAAGTCTATCAGATTGTAAACGGCGCTTACGAAACGAAGCTATTAAGATTCTTTTTATTTTTCGGCTGTGATAATTGCATTTCTGCTATGTTTCTGAAATTCCATTTATTTTATAATTACCTAATAATTCAATATTGGGAGGTTGAAGGAAATTTTAACGGAATAAACTCAAGTTCGTTTCCGATTAATTCATAACGTTATCAAAAACGCTAACGAATGGTTAAAAGTAGCTGAGAAACTTAATAACTTGTAATGTGTACAGACAAGGGGATAGCACGTGGCCTGAGCACGTGGCGCGAGGCGGTGGGGCGCTGCAACACGTCGGCGCAGCTCGCCATGCTGCTGCAAGCGCTAGAAGCAGCCATCGCATGGGACAAGAGTATCTTGAAAGCGGTAAATATCCGCCTCGAAGGACCAATTCTTCAATTATTTTGAATTTCTTTCATATAACTTCATTTTTTAATATTAAACCATAAGTAACTGATGTTACTAATCTTATTTAAACATCTTACTAATGTTATAAATACGATAGTTAATATGGATGGATGTTTGCTAGAGTTTGTAACCTAATCTGCTGAATAGATCTTGTTGAAATTTAATATAAATATACTGGAAGAACACTAACAGCCATACATTTAGACGTAGATAAAGTTAAACTTAAGAATAAACTGAGTGTAAGCAAATATTAGTACAAATTTTGCTTATACTCAGTTTATTCCTGTTGTAACTTTATACCGCGTTAATTTGTAAGGGTGGCTTGCTTACTTTTTATTATACTGCGCGAACGGAGACACGGACAGAAAGCTAGTTTTAACATACTTCTTATTTTATTAATAGTGACTTTTTTATGTATATTTTTGCAGAATTGTCAGTTTTGTCTGTGCGGCGACAACGAGGACCAGCTCCTGCTATGCGATGGCTGTGATAAAGGCTACCACACATACTGCTTCAAACCACGTATGGAGAAAATCCCCGAAGGCGATTGGTCAGTACAGAAATTATAATAAAAGTTACTCAACATTGCGGTAATGAGCGTATTTTTTTTAGACCGAACATTTTGTGTTACAAGATTAAATGAAGTCCTAAGTATAAAGTAGTATAGCGTGTTTTAATGCTACAGATGGCATAATTAAGAGATTAAATATATTTTTTTTATATATTTTATAACATGTTAATACAAGGACATGGGGTGGCGTAACTTAACAACTAACTTAGTGTTTTCCAAAGAAGTTATTGGTGAATCAATATTTACTATGTCTAGTCTATATATTTCTTAAATGTGTTTGTGGAAATAGTAAATGTTGTAAATTGACGGATTATAGAGTTATTTGGAGGACGAAAATCCGGTTCGCCGACGATACAGGAGTAGGATATGATGATGTGGGATTATTCACAACCGTCACCCAGCTCTGTCCCCACGTCATGGGAACAGATGAGTATAAAAAGTTTTATCCGTCCCACGTTTTAGTCCCAGTATCACCCATAAGGTGACATATGGAACCATTAATGAATGAAATAAGTTTCAACCGACCCTTCATCGCAAAAGATGGGACGGATGAAACTTTTTATTCTCATTTGTCCCCACGTGGGGACAGGTGGAGTGACGGTTGGGAATAATCCGTGATGTGTTGTATAATAGTGTTATTGTGCAGGTATTGCTGGGAATGTGTCAACAAAGCTCGCGGCGAGCGCGTGTGCATTGTATGCGGCGGAGCGTCCAGCGGCCGCACTATACCGTGCGCGCTCTGCGTACGCGCCTACCATATGGACTGCCATTACCCGCCTTTACACAAGGTACATGATAATTTTCAATATTTAAAGGTTTGAACACACGGGAAAGTTTAAAACTCATTGTCAAGGCCGATCAGATCTCTTAGATAAAGAAACATTATCACTATCGCTGATCGAAAAGTCAAAATATATGGAATTGGCAATAACATACAATAAGTCACGTGCTTGTTAATATTCAATACTATACATTTTGACACATTTTGTCGATTCTATTAGTGATATCGCTAATTGAAAGTAACTTTGTATAAGGCGTTGAGGCAGCAGCGTCTCGCGTTGTTTTTTCTGGTGTAAAACCTACACATGCATAGAAAAAGACCAAAGAAAAAACACGACTTGAACTGCGACATTTTTAACGACAGAGGGCGCTAGTGACCTGTCATAATTTAGTTTGACTTATGCCCGCTGGATATAATATCCTTGTCAAAAGACTTTTAATCAAAATGCATAGGAAAGAAAAATCCTCGACTAGCGATATAGAAAAATGTAACCAGCGACAGTATTTTCTTTATGAATCGGCCTTACGCTACGGAATAGCAGAATTAAAATGTAAAATGAATGTATTTTACAGAACCCTCGAGGCAAATGGTACTGCTCGCACTGCATATCCCGCGCGCCGCCCAAGAAACCGCGCAACACCAAGAAGAGAGACAACAAACATAAAGATAACAGCATTGACCTAGACCAGAGCATGGTGCCCAGGTAATGTTTATTATACAACATAAAATCTGCTTGTACATTACCAGTTGTTCCCGTGCAGCTTCATCCGCATGACATTGTAAAAACTATTTTATTGTTTACTTTTGGTATAACTTTTTGGTCTTTAAAAAGTACCTACATTTTCTGCTAATATATTTCAAACTATTAAACCTTTTATATTTTTTTTAATCCAATATAAATTATGAAATAGCGAGAAATAATCGGATTATTAATTATATTGTATTTTGATTTTTACAATATATGTAGGTACAATAACATAAATGTATAATTCTATATTGTATAGACAAATACAATTTAATAATGTTTTGTATGTTGGTAGTCCTGCGGCGTCTCAGGCGTCTACGTCAACGACAGCGGAGGAGTGCGTGCCGAGCGCGCTGCACACGCCGGAGAAGCACGACGAGCGCGACGATACGCTCACTGAGCCGGAGAACGGACTGAACCATCATCCCGGTATGACGTCACATTTATATCATTCATTTCATTCACACCACCTCAATATAAGCAAGTCGATTAAATTGTTGCAAAGTCAAAAAACTCACTAGTTGGTGCTCGCGTCTTCGCCGGCACGGAAATAAAAATACATGTGTGACTCAGTGATAAAGTAGCTATTTATTGGTGATTTTTTTTAATTGGCCCTGTATTTTGAGGTATTCCAATATATACACAATTTTGTTGCTGTTGCACGGTCTAACGTCACGACGGTACTCCGTATTTATAGAGAAGGAATATCTAAATACGGTACTCCTAATAGTCTCACTTCTTGGAAAAATTGCTGTTATTACTAGTCCTACATAAGAAGTGAATGTACGTTTTATTGTATTAGTATAGATTATTAACTTATTTACGCATGTTAAACAGTAGCGGAGTTATCAGAGGAAGGTCCGCCGCCGGAGAAGCGACGCGCGCTCTCCGTCGGCAGTAATGGAGCCTTACAACACGACGACACTGATCATATGGACGGTTAGTTATAGACATTTATTGTATATCTTACTGATAACTGATAAATGTCACTAAGAGCGGTTGCACATTTGACTAAATTATCGCACGACGTGTGATTGTTGATTGTTTCACAGCCAATTCAACTGTTTGTACATCTAAAAATCGAATAGTGTACACACCTCTATATAAGAAGATAATATGATTTAAAGCGATGATAAGCAGTTGTGCGATAGTTTTGTCAAAGGTGTGCGAGCGCTCTTAACGAACACTAATGGCCGAATGCTGGAACGACTTTTATATAACAAAGTTTTATCATAAGGTATATTTAAACTTTTAACGTCTTACAAATCGTAAGCGTTTACGAATAGAGTTTGAGATTCGTTTCAGTATACGGCCGTTAGCCAGTTAAGTGTTTTGGTTTATGACGTAACAAGTCTCTCAATATTTTTTTTTAACTAGCAGTCGACGACATCAACTCCGAGAATGTGCCACTTCTGTCGAGAGCGAAGAAAGAGAAAACAAGTGCCAAAAAACAGCTCAAAGAATTGCAGTTTTGCAAGTAAGATCTTATTTATATTTTTTGTTAGTGTATACTAACGTATGTGCCAGTAAAATGGAACATCAATCCTTCAAACGCATGCCCGAAGCTATCACAATTTGAAATTTTCCTGCTAGCTTACAAACAAGTTTGCGAGTTTCTGGCATGTGTATTCATTTCTGACAGTTTTCGGTTAAGAGAACAATCAATAGATGGCGCTGTAATAAATAAACCGTTTAGGACCCTGCTGTCAGAGATGGAGTGTCACGAGCACGCGTGGCCATTCTTGATGCCTGTCAACACCAAGCACCTGCCGCAGTACCGCAAAGTCATCAAGTGCCCAATGGACCTCTCCACCATCAAGAGAAAATTGCACGACGGCACGTGAGTACCCTCCGAACAAAATATACTCATAATCAATAGAAAATACATTTCAACCTTTATAACGCTACAAATTTTACCAATTTAAACAATAAAAGACTTTTTTGCCAATTCAATAGACTTCGACCATAAAAAGGAAGGTCTTACCTGACATACTTTTCACTAAGCCGTCGCGTCAGCTATATCTTAGTTCTTAGCGAAAAAGTGGTCTTACTTAAATTTTAAATTCATATGCAAGTGTTAGTCGCCTCAAATTCTAAGATTTCTCTTCGATAGTTTGAGTCGTTTTAGACATTTAGTTTGAGACATGTTTAGTTTACCATTTTTTAGGATTACTATCGCAAAATAATTCACTTAAATAATTTCCAGGTATAAATGCAAAGAGGAGTTCGCGTCTGACGTGCGACTGATATTCAGCAATTGCGAAGTGTTCAACGAGGACGACAGCCCGGTTGGGCGCGCCGGACACGCTATGAGACACTTCTTTGACACCCGCTGGCCTCATATATGACACCCCCGTGCACACACTGACACACCACACATGACACAAGCGACATCTGGACAACAATGACTCTAAGTTATAAACCTGAATTTGAATTATAATCGTGGGACTCTCTGATGTAGACGCTCGCGATTCTTCGGCGTGAAATTAATATATAATAAAAAAACACCCTAATCACAAATAAATGACCTTTCTAACGATGTAAGAATTTTTAAAATCGGCCCATTAGTTTTTGAGTTATTTCAATAGATACAAAAATACAAATCTTTCCTCTTTATAATATTAGTATAGATTAATATAATCGTAACAGCTCTATTAGCGACCACTAACTACCGTTAGATGGCGTGCTATTGTTAATTATTCAAAATGACATTGACAGCTGTCATAAGGACGGGTATATATGCCGAGGATGTAGTGTTGTGCCGATTTTCTTAACGATACTAATTTATGTACTAAATAGAAAGCTATTAAAATCGAGTGATTAATAATTAAGGATAACGAAGACTTCATGACAAATGTTACTTAATTTAGTACAGTTATGTGTGAACCTGAAATAGAATATTGTAATAATATTATTTTACATTATTTAGTAGAATTTACGCACAAAAATGTTTACTATTACTTTTACTTCAAGATCCCTTTTGCCTTATTTGGATATTTTCCTAAAGTTTTATAACTATAGATAGTAGTTTTAAATAAACTTTCCAGACTTTGAGACATCCTTGATAAGAATTATGACATTCCAATTCAGACATGACAACAAAATGTAGTTTTATATTTGTTGTAGACAATTGATTCATGTTATTTGATGAGTGTAAACCATATTCCTCAAAAAATCTTTCTAAAAAGATTTTAATTACTGGCAATAGTGCATGTTTCAAATGTCATTATAATGGCAGCACTAACGAATCTCGATGTATTAAAATGGTAGAAGTGATTCCAATATAAAATTCGGACGTACGGACAACGCACAGTTATCTGGCGTATTTGTATTTACGTAGCTGTATATATTAGTTTTCCTTTTTAATATAAGTAATTGTAGCAATTATAAAGTATTAGATTGAGATCTATTCTAAGCATAGACAAGTATAGAGTATTGATGTCGTTTTTCGAATATTTTTTTAATTTGCGTGTAGCAACGAACCAGTATTTAAAAATATCTCTTATTCCCCTGCGTCTTTGATTGGATAGAAAAAAATCTTTCTGTGGCCAGTTGGTGGGTAGTCGAGTGAATTTGTAAATTTATTTGGGTGTGTAAAAAACTAATTGAATATAGTTGTTAGCTTATTTTATGAAACAATCTTTTTGGACGGTTTTAATGGTTTTTCTTGATGGAAAATGGGAAAACCCTTTTGACAATCTAATTGGGATTGTAACCTTAAAATTGCAACCACAGATTGGTTCATAAATAGGCCATTTCAAAGTATTGCATTAGGCGGGAAGTATTTAGTAATTGAATAAGTGTAGCTTAGGGCCTAACTTGAAAGTGACAGGCATTTTGCTCTTTGTATCCATTTTTTTTCAATAGCTTTGAGGCTATAGTTCAGTTTATATAAAAAAAAATATGTTTTTTTATATAATTAACAGTTTTCATGCAACCGGGCCTTTTAATTTTTCATTTTTATTTTAATTTTTCAGAGTCTTAATAAAAATTGTTACGCTTAGTAAAAGTAGTTCTTTGTCCTTAAAAGTATATACTAACAAATTATTTTGTATTCAATGGTTAATTTTTCAAATTAACTTTGTATATGTATATGAAAAAAAAAATCTCTTCAAATGAATTATTTATTTAAAAAAAAAACTTAATAAATTACTTTACAGATCTCTTAAAACCGATACTACTTAATAATTTATGTTAAATTCAAAGTTTTCTTGTAAAATTAAAAACCTGTTTACTTCTGTTTATATTTAAAAAAATCTTTAAATAATACTCAATACTGATACAGCCTTTATTTCTCTAATTATATCTATTTGTCCTATACCTATATTTATAATACTTGACTATAATGTAAATGTTCAATTCAAGAGTCATGACTTATTTATGCTAAGCCTTATTTATTTTAATTATTGATATTAAGTCGAAAGTATATTTTCATTGTGATTGGAAAATCCAAATTATTGGTACTTATGTGGCAGCGAATGTCGTAAGTTCTTTTTGTGAACGAAAAAAGTATTTGTAACCTTGAGTTTAAACTGTCGTTACATTATGTATGACATTGTTGTCTCTGTTTTTCTCATGGAGAATGAAAGAATGGCATCATGTTATACAAGTTTTACTACAGTGGAAACTCGTAATTGTTCAAATAGCTACTAAATGTCCATTCCTTGTGCACAATGTTGCGTTGTTTTTTTAACTATTTTAGCAAAAGTATTAATAATTTTACGAATACTTAATCCATGCTTTTAATTTTTAGTTATTTACTCACTGTGTTATTAAAATTGCGTCGAATTTTAAATAAATTATTATTGTGTAACTAGGTTTTTTTTTTAATCTTTGTATACTTAAAATGCCTTTGATGAAATATGTTTTACAAAAATGAAACCTACTGCCAGTACATAAGGATGATATTACAATTTTTGTGAAACATATTTGTCCGCGGGCAGCGAGATTCGTCCGCGAGCATGTGCGTGAATACAAAGTTTTATGTTGTGTGCATCGGTTGATTCTAATTATAAAATGGATATATAAATTATATATAATGAATAAATAAATAATTTTTGAAGCACTTCCTTCTCGTCTTTTATTGTACTATTGTTTACTTGTTTTTTAAAAAAAGAAATAGACTAGACTCGACCACAAAAATATCTTGGCAGTGTAATTTTGTCGAATTCACAAAAAAATAGATCTACAAACGAATACTAACCAAACCAGTTAGGTAAAAAACAAAAGTTTTTAGTATTTAGTAAAGTTGTGAGAAGAATGTTTTTTCCACTTTCGTAATCAGTCAAGTTTCTCTGCTAGAGTAGACACACATCGCTATTTTCATGACATCAATCTCATGTTAAAACGATCAGCTATCGATTTCTAGACCAAATAGCTAATGCAAATGATAATGTTATTGGTTAGGAAAAATGAACAAGCAATACAGTATTCTCTGATTTTTTATCAGAGGAGGCAAACGGGTAGCGGTAATACCGGGATGGTCAAATACACCCAGAGACATCTGCAAAACCAGAGCAAATACAGATGCCTTGTCAGTTTTTAAATAAATAAAACAATACTGCTACAGTTGTAATAATATTTATTTTAGAACAGAACATAGTATATAGTTTTATAAAAATTAGATTGTTTCTGCCGCTAATTTTGCTTGAGCCTGTTTCATCTTCAGTCTTCGTTGACTTCGCTTTTTATTCATTGGCACACTGCCAACCAGTTTACCAGACTTTTGCAGTGCTATCAGTTTTGCTGATTTACTCTGAAAATACAAAAATAACTATGACAAACAGTACATACTTATTTTTACAATTCAGACAACAAAAAAAAGCAAAGAAAGTATGTTTTGAAAACTAATGTTTTTGTAAGTATACTTATAAACACTCTTCTTCTTCTACTATTTTGTAAAACTGCTTGTTCTGTTTTTAGGAATCATTGAAAACTGGCGCTTCGGTGTACACTGAGCACATGCCGAATGAATACCTTTTAATTTTTTTGAATAAACTGATTTCTTTCTTTCAAAATATGATAAAGTTATTTTCATTAAAAAGTTACCTTGGCTTCTGCTTTTGTAATCTTTCCATTCTTCTGAGTTGTATATAGAACATTTATTCTTTTGTTGCCGAGCATAGAATGATGTTTTGACAGTGCTAACTGTAAAAAATTCAATAAACACATTAATGATGATGTAATTTTCTATCCTGTAAACATGTAAACATGAATTTAAATTTACCTCATATACCACTTCATTTTTGAGTTCTACATAAGCTATTGCACTCTTCTTTCCTTCTTTTTGCTTTGGCAAACGGACATCTATTATAGAATCATTGAATTCAGCAAAATGTTGCATTATCTGTAAGAAGTGAGTTTAAACTTTTAGTTTCTCAATATGGGAAAGAGATTTTATCTTACTTTAAAATGATAATATTTACCTTTTCTTTATCAATATCCAAAGGCAAGTTGCCAACAAACACAACATATCTTTTTGGTCCCTTGACTTTCTGCACAGATTCCTTCGCAATGTTTTTAATCCCTTCAGTTGGAAGAGAATCTATTTTCTGTGCTTCATCAGTTGACAATTTCTCTTTCTTCTTTTTAATTTCACCTTTTTTATTTTTAACTTTATCTGTTTTTGTCTTAACCATTGTTTTTGTTTTTATTGCAGTCTTCAACATATTGTACAAAATTCTCATTTTTCTCAGATCCGAATCTGTATAAACATCTGAACTCTTTAGTATGGCTTGTATTCTGTTATGAATTACTTCGGGTAATAAAACTTCTGAAGTGCCTTTTAGACTGTCTCTGATCATTTGACGAAGTCTTCCTGAAAAGAAAATTTCAATTAAAATAATATCTTAGAAAGTGAAGTTTTTTTCATATTATTTATTAATAAGTATTAAGTAAGTTAGTTGTAGGTAAATCATACCTTTTTGATTATTTGTCAAAGACACACTGTGCAGTTTTTGTATAAGAACAGTATCATTCAGAATAGGATACTGTTCCGTATCTTCTGTGGTCTTGCTTTTCTTGACATCAGGAGATTTCGTGATTTCTTTCAGAGTAGTCAACTTTGTGTGAGCCATGTCTATTTTGTTTCCTTCGATATTTTTAACAAGATCTTCTGCACTAACCACATTGTCATTACTTTTTCTTTTTCGTTTCTTTGTGATCTTTTTAACTTTCTTGTCTGTAGCTCCCATTCTGAAATATTTACGATAACTGATTATAATAAACTGAAAAATGTTTTTTTCTGATAAATAAAGGCACATGGTCTTTACCTTTCATTCGTAACCATATTGAAATTTTAGGTTATATATTTAACAATTAGGATTTAAAAGTCACACACGTATTGCGGTCGGTAAACAAAAGTTGCAAGAGTCTTTTATAAGTATGTTATTTTATTATTTTCGCATTTACACATTCTAGTTAATTTTGCTTTTTACATTTTGTTTTGAAGATGTGACATTGACATGATTGCGTTCCATTGACACCTGGCAGCTTGACGTTGACAGTGACACCAACAGTGGTTTTCAACTTATGGAAAAAACTTTCAGCAACGTAAGAAAAAAGAAATATTTCAGTAAAAAATCAAAATGTTTTTCTTTTAATGAAATAAAATAAGGCTTCCCAAAATTTCTAATACTATGGATTACTTTTGAAGAAATCTTTTTTTTTTGCTCAAAAGGCACATTGAGCAGGTGCCTGCAAGATTATTAAGGAATATAACTAGGGCACTAGATGGCTCTCGTGTCCAAATATTGTCGAAGTATTTATAATAGATTTATTATTCCTCAAATATCTCAATATCCTCGAATATCTCAAATTAAAATCCGCTGTTGCCTTTAAAATAGTAATGTCACAGCAAAGATATTCAGTATTTAAGCGACCAAGTCGGTTAACGCATATTTTGATGTTTTGTATCTTTTTGTTTAATATCTCCAATATTATTTTTTACTCATAGATTTGAATATATTAATCCTATCACAATTATAGAGAAAACAGAAAGCTGCGTAAGACTTTCTAATAAGTAGTTATGTCGCGTTTACAGGTCAATTATTGGTTTATAAGGGCAAATTAAATTACCTTATTTAAGATTTACCGTTACATACTCATACATCGAAGGTCGTGAAAAGTCGAAAGGCAGTTTACTAAACATATAATTACTACCTTCTAAATTCAAAATGTTGACTACGTTTATTTAATCTCAAACTTTACACTACATGTTACAAAGTTACAAAGGTACAGAGTAAAACGTAATCTTCAATAAATAGTATTCTGGTTGAAAGCATATTTTACATATCTGAATTATCAAGGGTTTGTCGGATATCAGGGTTAACATGAAAGCGAGAAAGTTGCGTTGCGAATAATTTCTTTTTAATTTCAATGAAGTCACGTAAACAGCAAATTTTGCTCTTGACTATACTACTTGCGTTTTTTTTTTATAACTTATACTACTCTAGTATAGTAACTATAGCATAGAAAAAGCTGTAGCTCTGATTATGTGCTTACCCGAAAAAGGAACCAGCAGCATAAAATAAGAATTATATAAAAATTGAACTCATGGTATATTGTTAAGCTTAGTTATTTGTAACTATTTGTGTAATGTTCGTGGTTTGTATGTTCGTGGTTTTAATGCGGTTAAATTTCTAAAGTAGGTTTCTCTCTTTCCACATCACTGAGAAATACAGGGAAAATGTATTAAACATTACTAGGTTACAAAGTATCGATTAGACTTGTCCTATCTGTGTGTATAATAGGGGTTATTTTTTGTATACGGTAAGTATTACTGAGTACATCCCGTTTTATTTCCGTCCTCTATTCTTCTTCCTTTTAAGGTATCATATCCTCGACACTTGTGTTACACATGTCTTAGTCATTTCTTTGGAATAAACGTCTATATATGTAATTAAATATGTGGTCGTAGGTCAAGTTTTAATAAAATAAGAACGTACTCAATAACCATTAAACTTGAGGTCGTAAGCATTACCTTATCTTAAATATGTTACTGCTCTATGCTAAAATGGTTTAAGTCGTTAAAACGATATTCGCGTTGCGATAACGTATCTCAAAGCTCTACACGGCAATCAAAAGCTTCGTTTCAAAAAAGCACAAAAGATGACCGGAATGAGTGCAGCGAAGCGAAAAGTAACTGTTGGAAAGTAATTTACATGAAGTGGCAAGAGAACTTGGCTCGACTTGCAAGTAGTTCGTTCAGTGTGGCCGCAGTCTTGTAGCGGTCAAGGCTCCGCGGCGAACGCCCGTGCTTTTAAAAAAAATAACTTCAAGAAAAAGCGCGCGCCTTTCAAAAAAATATACTCAACGTACGTTTGACTTATAAGAAGATTTTTCTAAACTCTTTTGTAGAAGTAATTTTTGGCTAATTATCAGTTTTTAGTACAAATAACTGTTAAATCTCTGTGCCGGTGGATAATGAGTTCGTGATTGTGAACGTATACATCTTGGAGTCTAACACAGGTAATTTACAATATTTGTTCTAATTGATAATACAGTAATGTACTCTTTAACCATTTAATGTCGCTGATTAAAAAACAACTGGCTGCTTTTTTAAAGTTCAACTTTATGGTTGAAAGAGTTGCCGTTTTTTCCACTTATCAGTGTTCAGTCGAGACGATCGGGAATAACGGCCCTGCAATCATAGGTTGTTGCTCTTCCTACTGCGCCCGCACAACAAATAAAAGTAACAAGTATAAAGGAAATTATCTAGATTCTAGCTCTACACCAATCAGTTCCAGCCTTTGTCCTAGATTTATACGACGCCTTTAAAAGTCAGAAAACTAGAAATAAATCTGAATAAAACTGAAATTGTCCAAACTATTTATTTACTTTAAAATAGTATAATACAGGCTGTATTTTGATAAATAAAAAAAAATAGAAGTGCGTTTAGTTCACGTTTTCCGCGCGGCCAGTTGTGTTGTGAGTGAATGTAGGTCAGTGAAATGATCGAAACACGGTCCCGTATGGAATCCGACCCGAGACTCGGCCGACCGATTTCGGTGTCAGACCGTCGGCCCGCACTTTCATAATTATTATTCTTTTTTTTGCTCAAGTAACACTGCAAAAAAATATTATCATTATCTAATCAAACATTACGAAGATTTTTAATGAAATATATACAAAAAATAAATAAAAAAAACAGTAGTTAGAATAAATCGTGACACAGCTTAGTTTAGTTATATGAATTAATACAAAATCTATTTTGTGACAATAAGGCATAAGTGTTTAAAGTTAAGAATGTCTATATTTCAATTGACTTACTTTGGAGATAAGGCTCAGATAAGCAGGTTCCGAGGCGAGGTCATTAACATCTCGTTGCCCGCGTCCCGCTCACCACGGAGGAATTTTTTATCTTCATTATAATGAAGTCGTTAAACAAAGGACTTACAATTTATGAGGGAAGTATACACCCCTACTGGAAAAATAACTAATAATAACGAGTGAGTTTTATACATTACCATGATAAAAAAAAATTAAACTATATGATGTGTAGTGACTCAACTCGGTATCTGACTTGTAACTGGTTTCAATGCAAAAAAATATAATTACTAACATACAAGTAAGTTAATTATAAGTACAATCACGTACAAATGGTATAAAAAAACGTCAATAATCCAAAGAAAACATACAATTTTAATTAGTTGTAGTTAGATTGTATTATTCGTTGCATTCGTGAGTACGAATTGTTTTTTATTGTTAAGGATAATACATCAGTTAATTTACACATTTTTGCAAAAAAACATTTGCTAGATAGCAAAGATTCTAAACAAGTTATTGACCGTCTCAGAAGACAACTGTCAAATTAATAATATGTATGCGAGAGACGTGCAAACGTGCAAATGTTTCGTATTATATTAATAGTATATTGTCAGATATAATAACTAACAGCCAGTTATAATTTCTGATTTCTGAAAAGGCCCAAGAAATTATAAAATTAAAAATCAATAACCGTAACTTTTTAAATGTTATTAATATGTTCTATGTTCTTCGTAGACAAAACCTTGTGTTCATGTCCATAAGTTTTCACGGCCAGCACTTGTACGTGACATATTGTCATTCCTCTACTTATCTTTGAGAAAAACAGACAACAACAATACGTTCAATACGTTCTAGATTACCTCCAGGATTGTTAACCCATCATCACGTTATACGAGTACACTTCTCCTCTCTTAAATTGTTCTAACTTTTTATTCTCATTTGATTTTCGTACATATATTTTTATTTATTTTTAACTTGTGCCAATTAACTACGCTTTTAAACCTGTGACAATTATAACGGGAAATCGTGAAAGCTACAAGCAAGCTTGTTCGATTTATTAATTTGATAAATCGCGACGTTAACATAAATGAATCAAAACAAAGTAATGAATTTGTAAACGTCCAAATTTTGTTGCCGCTTAAGAGGCATTTTACGATCGAAAATGAAAACTTGGAGTCGTTTTTGCGAAGGCATCGAATGGCGAAAGCGATGTAATTTATGTTGGCCCACATTTCGTATTAAATTCGTGGCATTTGTACATCTTTATTCGATTAATTTTTTAACATGTTGTATAGAAACGCGTTTTTTTTTAAATTAAATTTTATGACAACATTGCATCTTTTACATCAAAATATATACCAAATTCGGGTATGAATCCTTGACATTTCGTTATTCTGAAGATATGCAATTTACACTAGTAACATCAGTTACAATAAAAACGTCTATATGTTGATTTAAAACTTACAAAATTTTATTTTTAGTAATGTTAGCAAATATGATAGTAACCTATTATTCAAATGTAATACACGAAATCAGAACTTGCTTTGATAGATGCATTTAAGACGTCATCCTCCTCCGTTACATACGATACCGCTAGTTTTCATCTGAAGTCTACACAATGGCTTTCTTAGGCAAAGATAATAAGACCACGTAGTCCATAACCACCACATAGTATTAAACAAAGTCGCTTCCCACTGTCTGTATGCTTAGATTTGGATACAGTTTTTTTAATAGATTGAATGATGCATACGCTTATAACTAGTTAATATGGTAAAGAAATAGTGATCATTTTAGAGGTTTCTAATGTGATATCGTATATAGATCTGGATTAAAATAGTAAAGAAACGTCTAAAGAAATATTGTCGATCTATTTACATTGAATGTCCTTGATTGTATATAAAATTATAAACCTTTAAACATTGTTAGCAACTTGAATGTTAACTGACATAAAATGTACTTACTTAGTCTGCATTACAGCGCTCGTGAAAGTTTACGAGCACTAAAAATATGTGACATTTTTGCATAATGTATACCGGATAAAGATGAAACTTTTTGGTGTAAGGTTACATTTCTCATGTCTCGAAGATTACACTAAAGTATATATTTAATAAGAAAAAGAAAATGTTTTTATTGTAAATTAAATTGTAGCTTGAGTTTTATCATGATTTTAAAATTATAAATATGACGACAATAACAAGAGTTAATACGAATTTAATACTATTCTTTATAATCTATTTAGTTTTTTTAAAGCTGCAAGTTTTTTTTTATCAAATATATTAGTAAAATCACACCACTGAGGCGTTGATGTCTTTTCTATGACAATATTATTAGGACACATAAATATAAGGGTTACCATAAATTCCTTTCGTGTCAGTCATTAATTGCATTACTGTTCCCTTTTTATTACATTTTTCTCTTATGTAGACTGGTTCTATCAATCCCCTTAAGGAAAAGGTGCAGGCTGTGTTTCCAGGAATGCTATTAATGAAGGAGCCCGCACATACTCGTGGTTATGAAAGCATGTTCTACGTAAGGCTTATTTGTATATGGAGTGTACTATAAGCACTATGTCTTTAACATATTTTAAACATTTCTTTCATCTGTAGCTATTTTTGGATTAACGATAACAAAACTTATCGTATTTATTAATCTAATCGAAAGCAACCTTTTTATTGTAAGATATTAACTACAAACTAAACATTTTTTTATTTCTAAGTAATGAAAGAACTAAGACTAAAATTGTAAAAAACAGCTATTACTTCAAAAACTGTTCCGGTTATTCTATTTCATTATTAAAACAAATGAAGTACGAGCGTTTTCTAAACAAAAGAATAAAACAAATTCAATGATTTCATTCCAATTATTATCTTTGCAAACCGTGAAATCATTCGATCATAAAAACAATATTCGCGAGGAGCAAGTAACTGTTCTATGCTCCAAAATGTTAACTAATTTACACACAATAATGGCTGATGAATATCACGACACGCTTCATATTATACCTGATATATTTGATATTTCGATACAACCTTCCGATATTTAACAATTTTATATAAGTAACTGTACCTTTTGTGCTGAATAAAATAAGATGAATGATAACAAACATTTATATACTTATTTGATTATAGTACTTACCTCACTATAAACGTTATTCTTTCAGGATAACATAAATTTATTTTATCCTTACCAAAAAAAAAGTAATGTAAAAAAGTCTTGGCCATTTTTCAAAAGAATGTTTATCTTCATAAAACGGCTTGATACATGTGAAATTTAATTCCCTTGCAATCTTAATAATACATAAAAGTTATCATAACCAACGAAAAATTATGATGAGAAATTATGGTTTTTATAAACATTACAAATAATTTGTACGAAATATAACCCACTGTGCGGTAAAACGGTTTTATATCTGATGGTAATAAATCAACTCGGAAGCTTTGCCTTAAAGGAAACTTAATTGGGACTCGAGTTTACGAACGAAATGATACATTTCCGTTAAATCTTGGCGACTTTAATTGTAACTTATTGTGACAACCGTTTATTTCTTTAATTTTACACGTATGAAAAAGCAATTAAAACAAACAAAAACCAGGAAATAGAATAAATAAAAAATTAAGAGATATTTAAAGATTATTCAGTTTGAAATTATAAGCTTTTCTTAAACTATGAATGTGAAATAAAATGGCCGCCCGTTAGAACTTGTTTACTGTCGTTATTTATGTCGCATACCGAACACGACAAGCCAGATTATTTGCTAAAAGCATATCGAATTATATTATAGTTCATTTCGCATAACTGTTATAGCTGTAAATTCCCGGAAGTATGAAACATCTTTAAACAGAAAATAGTAGAAAACTATTAAAATTTGTACGTGGTGATTCCGGCTATTAATTTTATAAATTAGATCAATGGCCATTCAGTTTTTTTTTATTGATCATTGACCTTGAGACTTACAGTAACCAATTTCATAGTCTGTATGTAGATTTTTTAAGAGAAAATTTCACTTGATTCAAAGCGACAACTTTAAACTCTTGCAAAATTCATTGTATAAAAATTCAATAAACCTTCGTCTTAATTAGTGGGGACAGTTTGTACAAAATATGGTTATAGTTCGTCGAATACCATTATGGAGATACTATAGTATATGTACTTAATTAAGTTTTGTATTTTAAATTTCTGTGAGGTCTTTAGTGTAAGGAACTGGAAAAAAGCTTTTTAATTAAAAACTTCTTGATCAATTTATTGATACCAAATGTTTTCAGAAGAAGTGTAACAGTGGTAGTGTCCGCGTTAACATCTTAGCACGAATTGGCCGGCTCGCCCGGTGTAATACCACGACCACACAGAAGACAGACGTGAAATGGAACTAATGCCGTGTTTCGTCTGATGAGTGTGGTGCTGAAGGCCTAATTTAAGTCCCTTTCTCTTTACCACCCTTTCCGTATGAGAGGATGGGAAGGGGAAGTGGATTCGACGATGGAGAAGATGCATAGGAAGAAGAAATATCCTCTTTATGTGCGTCTCCTCCTCCGTCGTATAAGGGCAGGCAACGCATCTGCAATTGCAGATGTCTATGGGCAGCGGTCGCTTGCCATTTTGGCGGATTCAGGTGGGCGCTTGCTCGTTTGTCATCTTATGTTATAAAAAAAAAGAAGTTACCACGAATTCTCACTGTTGAAAATAATATGAAAACATGTTATAAATATACTGTAAACCATCCCGCTTTCTTTTTTATTTGCTGAAAAAATTTGTCAATGTTTCGACGTGCTTCGGCCATACCTATTCTATAAACTAGTATAAAAGTTTTTACAAATTGCTTTATTTAATTTGCATTCCTTGATGTGGAGCTAATGACATAATTACCATCAGTAGAAAGCTCGGAGCATAAATCGAGTGGGTTTCTCCCGTTTAAGTAAAACCAACATGCGTTTACGGAAACTCGATTATTACTTCGAGATATAATCTCTTTTTGTGAGTTATAGCTCTTAGTAAAGGTTAGAAGAGACTGTTATAATTATATCGGATATTAAAATAGCAGAGGCAACTTTTGCTAGTAATTTGCGTACTTACGAATAACAGTAGTACTCGTATAATAATACTTAACTATATGACTTACTTATTAGATTCGAACTAAACGTAGAGTTGTAGACAAAACTTGTTAATCTAAGAACAGATGTTTTACGACAACCATTCGAGATAATAATTACACTTTTGACTATTACCATACTGATATGAAAATTAAAAAAAAACACACATATTTAAATCGTTTATTCTGTGAGACACGAGATTTGATAATAATGATTAGAAATAAAGCGATCGAATACGTACAAACTTTTCAACTATTTGTTCGCTCCAATTCTAATAAAACTATTCTAAAAACTTGTACAACCGCATGTAACGAATGCACAAGACAAGAATACAAATTAAAGTAATAAAACAACATGTAAAGTTACTAACTTGATGCGTGAAGTTATGTGTTTGACAATATGAAGCCCTGATTTGTTATTAACCTCTTGGATGAGACGTTACTGTATATGTCACTGCAAAATTATGAACATAGATATTTAATAATCTTACTAGATTTATTGGACAAACTGTTGAAAAGCTGTTGCCAAAACTATACTACGTATATTAGTCGTTATGGCAACCGATTGTAAGGTGATATTTTTTAAATTACGGGTAAATTGAGTAGGCGATTTTTCTATACCTTGGTATAATCTTAGGTAAGTATACGGGGTTTGTATGTATGTCAGTTGCGCGGACCGTTAGCAGTTCGGCGTCCGTCGGTTAGCGTGTGTGAAAGTCGCGTGGGCGATTTAGATAGAACATCGGTCATTTTCCTATGACCGCAATGCTGTTCGACAATTAAGGCGAGACTAATCGAATTAATTAATAATTTTTGTTCTGACAACGTACAAAAAAACTTGAAGTTAGTAGATTTTTTATATTGTTGATATTGCTACTTGTAATATATCGGTATAGTTAATTTGAAAACGGTGAATGGATAGAAAGATAACTAATAAAGGATAGTGAAAATGAGAATGATAAATTAACTAGCTTTCGCCTGCGACTCTGTCTGTGTGGAATTAAAAATAAAAACAAAAGTAAGCCTATGTGTTCTTCCAGACTATCCTCTATCCATCTAAACTTTCGCATATATAACATTAGTATGAAGTATAATTACAAAGACTTCGTGGCGAACTTTCCGCGACTATTGTATATTTTTGGTTATAAAAGTACGAGTACATTACAAAAAAAAACTAAAGTAAAACATGCACAAGTTTAGGTCACAAAACATACATTGTGTACTTAACGATGTTACCGGTTCTTACTTACCTAAGTGCATTAAGTTAAAACATGTAAAAACACTAAAGCTTATCTTTGTAAGTCTTACTTAGTGCTTTCACTTTGGAATTCGTAAAAATTCAAGCACTTATTTTAAAACTTCAATAAGTTACGTTTCGATAAGAATTCAGACTAAGTTACTTATGTGTTTACGTTTATCAATAACTTACATCGTTATAGTTAACGTTAAAAAGAGTTTAAAAATTAAGTCGAACACTAAAGAATACTAGCTTTCGTCCGCAACTCCGTCCGCGTGGAATTCAATAAAACAAAAATAAGTAGCCTATGTGTTCTTCCAGACTATCTTCTACATCCATGCCAAAAACTCTAACAATCATCCATCCATCTAAACTTTTGCATTTATAATATTAGAAAGGTTTTAATAATGTGCCTTTTATAATATAGAAAGCATTTACATGTACATACTTTTGTACTTATTAATGTATTTTGATTATTAAACTAATGCAAAACAGAAAGAAACAGTGTAATTTTATTTTCTCCACAAATTGATATTATCAAAAGTTCTTTGTTACTGATTTCTATTACAAATTCAAACGGTGTTTTGTCGTTTAGACGTTAGTTAACAGCTGTATCGATGACAAATGGAAAAATGGTTGAAACACTTTCTAAGTGCACTTTTTCTATTTGCACATTCGTCAATATATTAGTATTTATTATTCAGACACTTTCGCCTATTGTTATATGTTCATTTGTTAAAAGTGTTAGTGAAAAAAGTTTTTGATAACGTAAATTGAAAGTTCTATACTATTTATTGAATTAAATACGTAAGGATATTTTTAATAGAATAAACGAAACAATTTTAGTGTATACATCTGTGTTATTGTGCAGTGTTTTTCAAGTCTTAATTTATTGTTAATCACGTTTTATACTTGATATTACTTTTTTGGATGTTATAGCAATCGTATGCTTTAAATTTACTAATATTATAAAGGCGACACTTTAGATGGATGTTTGTTAGACTTTGTAGCATAAATAGTAGAACGCATATTAGTGGGATGTAGAGAATAGTCTGGAAATATTTACTACTTGTTTTTATTTTATTTTTCTTAATTCCGGAGAAAGTCGTGAACGTAAGTTACTAGATAATCAATTCAATTAATTTGCCACAGATAATCAAAATTGATTCTAGATAGATCGATAAGTTTATCTGTAAATCAGCACGTAAATATAACAAATGCTTACTTAGATTTTATAAGCCAATAGTTGTTCAAGTTGTATTGGCAGCGTTAATGCGGGCGAGATGACTACAAGTCCGCTAGGAAAATGACGGACCGTTAGAGGCGCCGCGTCGCCTGACCTCAATGCACTAACCCTTATTAATTAACAGTTCTCAGTAAATATATGTACAAATGATTTGACGCCTAGACGGATTGAAAGTTAAGCAAATATTTTGTTTGACTACACACCAAAAGTACATGATTTGAGATATCTTTAGAAATGGTTTAAAAAAAGAACTAAAAGAAGGTTTGAAAGGTTTAAAAAAAGAAAAATGCGCACACCTGAAACTTAAGTATCGCACAACTGTTTAGTCTCGCTCTCCTAGGAGTGTATATGTAAGTGCGGACACTGCTCGATTTTAGTTGTGCAACTAAACAGTTGAATGGGTTGCCAACTGTTGCTATTGCCGATTGTTCGATCGACCGACGACCTCTTTACTTTCATATATTAATTTTACCCGTTAAATTATAATCATCGTCAGTACAAGCTTTTACAAGAAAGTGGACTAAAGCCGGATAAATAAAATAAACGTGCAGTAAAATACATTTAGGTCGCAAACTCTATGTTAACAAATAGCAGGGAGCGGAATCAAATGTTGAACGCTGCGTAAACAGGCCTAGCCGGCTGTACGAGATTCATTTAACTGTACAGACTGGTCAGCCGCCACTTCCTGAATTCTAGATAGCTCAGACATAGCTTAGTAGCTACGATTATACCGGGTTATAAAGTTAATAAAGTTTGAAATATGGTATATTTCATAGGAAACTACCTACACGACCTACCTTGACGTCCTCGTGAAATAAAATAAATTCAAATCATACCGCATTCTGTGGAAGGTATTTTCGGACGGCATATGTCCAATAGGGCAGACAAAGTCTGATGATGATGATGATGATGTCTATAAACTATTCTAAGTAGATACATTATCTAACTATGAGTATCTATCTAACAGAAGTAAACATGAAGAATAAATTTCCATTCGCAAGGTTCCTTGTTGTATTGGTCAATGAAGCTTTACGAAGTAATCTAATACAAGTACGGAAATATAGTGTAACTATCTTGTTGTGGTATTTTCATTACTTGAATGAAAACTAAGATTTACAATGTTTATAATGTTCATTTAGACTTTAACAATTAATTATATTACTATTTGTATGTAACATTAGTAGTATCATCATGTAACACTAACTTTTGCTCGCGACATCGTCCACGTGAAATTAAAAAAATAAATAAAATATAGCCTATGTTACACAGTGATAACGTAGCTTGTTAATGGCGAAAGAATTTTTGAAATTGAACAGTTTCGAAAAATTTAATTAAAAACATATTAATTTGTACATTTCTTATTGTTACAGATCACATTCCAGTCCAGTCGCTGACAAAGATGCAACATTCATAGCATTAGGATAATCTGCAAACATCACTCAAAATGGGCCCACCTCTGAACACGTGGCCTTACAGTCATCCTAGATACAAAGCGGTACCAAACGACTCCGAAGAAGAAAATAGAGTGCTACCAAGTGACAGTTATATTTACGCAAAGTGTTCGATATTAAGCATCGTTAATAATTTTCGTGTGATATGTTTAAATTTTACTGTTGCTTTAATATTTTTTCAAGTGTTTTTAAATTTGAACTCTGTCGCCGCGGGTCCGGTGATACTTAATTTGGATTATTTACAAGGTAACTTCTTTTTATTTTTTTATTTACAAAACACATGTTTATACTAATGTTATTATAATATAGTAGATTTCTTTATTACGCTTTCCTTCTTCAGTATTAATGTGATGACTCACACCTGTCTTCTGTTTAAGTTTTATGTTACATTAAATATTCGTCATCTGTAACCAGCTTTCTTACAAAGACGCATATTCAGTTCAGTCTATTATTTCCACTATAAACATGAATGAGTAGCTTTCGTCCGCGACTACGTCCGCGTGGATTAAAAACAAAGCAAAAGTGAGTAGCCGATGTGTTCTTGCAAACCATACTCTACATCTATGCCAAGTTTCATCAAAATCCATTCAGCCGTTTAAGCTACAAACTCTAACAAACATCCATCCATTCATCGAAACTTTCGCATTTATGTTATAAGTAAGAAGTAAGATTATTTCAAAATTAACCAAAAATAAAATAAACGCATTAACATAAATAGATAAAATACAGAGAAGGTGAGGCATAAATAATCCTGACTGGTTTAAAGGGCCAGATAATAAATTTAAAAATAAATTAAGATTAAGAAACTTCAAAAAACGGCTAGATATTAAGTTCTTCTTACGATATTAAATATGAAAATGAAGTAGAAAGGGTATGCGTAAATTATTTCGTAACATCTTGACACACTGACAAAACACTACATTGTAACAATGGAGGCTGTTGCCGTAAACAGAGAAAAGCGATTAGTGATGGCTTGTTAAGGCTTTACTACTTAACAACACGACAAAACATAGTGGAAAGTGAAACCAATGAAAAAAAGTCAATTAGAAGAGCATTTCCAAATATTTCGCAGAATAAAATATTGCTTTTATGAAACCATATCACTGTCGTGAAAATTCGACCACGCATTATAAATTCATCGACTTACTATTCCATTACTAAATAAACCATTTTACGCATATTGAAATGTCATTTTACAATATCTTTTGTAGATTATTAACTGTTATTAAGTTAACATGTCTTTATTACTTGACATATTTTAATCTATTTGTAAAACCCCAGCACTTGTACAGAGCAGGTACATGCATAAAATTTCGTAGAAATTGTCAACGTGCTTTGGCCACACTTTCACTTCCTTTCTTATTTGTTAAAGGACTCATGTAGGTCGCGTGTGTCACCGGCCAGAGATCTGTAAGCGATACTCCCACGCACCGCACCTTACTACGCATCACCTACATAATTATAGAAGTGTTAATTGAATTACATACGAGAGTAAATATGTACATTTTTATTTAATGCTTCCGACTATTAATGTTGATGAATCAATATTATTCTTTTTACAACACTAACATTTGCCCGAGACTCCGTCTGGCGGAATTAAAAAAAAACAAAAGCAAACCTTTATGTTCTTCAAGAGTATGCTCTACATATATGCCAAATTTCATCAAGATACATTTAACAGTTTAGGCTACAAATTCTGTCAAACATCCATCCAATCTTTAGCAATTGTAATAGTAAGATTTTTGAGTGAGAGTTCAATGAGAATTTGAACTCCTAAGGGATATTTTGTTTACATCTTTTCATTAAAAATATACTATAGCAGTGAATATCCGGAAACAGTGTAGGCATAGTTTACAGGATGTTGTAAAAAACGCCAACATCTTTATTCATAAAAGTTAACAATACATTTTTTATATATAAAACCATGATGTGTCAACGACACTACGTCTCACGCGTGCAAACAGTTTTTTTCATTCGATACACAAGCTGGATTTTTTAATATAAATTCAATTTATATTTTTGCGACTTGGTTATTTAAATTGGGTGCGGTCAATGCACCTCATACTAAGCAAACGCAGATCGAATTTAGTTTTTATGGCTTTTTAATTACGTCATTACATTGTGAGGATGTATACGCTAAGTTGGGTTATGTCACGACAGTAGGCGATTCAGTGATCAAGTGTACAGACAACGAATTGAATCCAGGATAAGTAATATTGAAGGTTCATTAACTTACTAGGTATCGCCCGCGATTTCGTCTGCGTGGAATAAAAAAATAATGTAAGTGTATGTGTTCTTCCAGACTACGTTCTACATCTGTGCCAAATTTAATCGAGATCCATTCAGCAGTTTAGACTACAAACTAACAAACATCTATCCATCCAAACTTCGTATTTATGATATTAGTAAGATTTCCTAATCGACTGTAACAAATGAAACGTCCACACAACTGTTGTGCGATTGTCGATTGTTTCGCAGCCAATTCAAATGTTTAGTTGAACAACTAAAAATCGAGTAGTGTGCGCACCTCCATATAAGATTATAGGAATCAAAGCGAGACTAAACAGTTATGCAATAGTTTAGTTAAAGGTGTGCGCTCGCTCTAAAAATCAAAGTGTACGTTTTATCTGAACGGCAAAGCTTAAATGAATGGATTAAAGTTTTGTGTTTTCCTACATAGAAAAGACATTGCTTTAAAAATATTGTTATAAGCAATTCTTATGAACATATCTCACGAGCGTCGTTAGACATAATGTTATCACATCTCCTAAATCGTGAGTAAAATGTTATCTTAAATAGAACAGTGACCTTTCCTTAAGCTCGCTTGATAATTGTTTTAGAACTATTCTTGGTTGTAGTTTTTTTTTACTTGTAACATAAACTTCTGAACGGATTTCAATGAAATTTGGTATAAATGTAGAGTGTAGTCTAAAAGAACACATAGAGTACTCATCATTGTTTTTTTTTTTAAATTCCACGCGAAAAGAATCGAAGGCATGAGCTATACTTCATAATTGTCTTTGTTTAACAGTATCAAGATGATTGACCTTACTTTTTGCGATGTTTAATACGTTTAAGGAAAAGATCGAAATCTTTTTAATTACGCATTCATACCATCGTACTTGAATAACGCACTTTTTATACATCTCATTTTTTTAATCTGTTTCATTGCAACTTTTGTTCGCTGTAATTAGTCTGTTTATTGTTTATTTTTAATACTGGTTTGATCTATGAAGATCGTATCTTTTGTGACCAGTAGTAATAAAAACTAATTACAATCCACATATCGTCGTCTAAATTGTTAAATACTTATGTTCGACCAAAGTCAAACCAGGCTCGACATATAGCAATTAGAATCATTGCATTTGAGTGCGTTTTGTTAAATTTATGGTATAACCGAAGTTATCCGTATCAACAATGTCTACGTAGACTTGAACATTATGAACATTTTAAAGAAGAACAAAATCAATATTAAAATATTCGGCCTTCAGTGACAAGCTGGAGGCCGCATCAGCTGAGCCTTGTCCTTTTGGCCAAGAATGTTTTGTCTTTATTTTTTTTCAGTATAATGATTTGTAAGTTGCATTCTTTTAAATTTTTTTTTGGTTAATAAATAGTGTTTTTAATTTATTTTAAATATTCTATGTATTTCCAGTTCTATTTACTCAGTTATAAAATATGTTAGTAACCTTTTTGAAGTACACTTTAATGAAAAATGAGAAAAATTTTAAATAAATTTCTTCAAGTGTATTGTTGTCTCAATTTTTTTTCAGGAAATAAAGTGTCAAAATGTTATTATCAAAATATTTTACAGTGAAAACTCATTCTAATATAGCTTAGGCCAATGTTTGTACATCTTTATTTTATTATAATAAAGACCAAGACTATCGATGTATCGACATGTAAACAAATATTCAAAATATTTGTTTACATTCCAACTATCAAGTGAATGAGGACGATTTCATATAATACATAGATAATATATGTGATAATTACCTACATAGTTTTTTTACACGAATTATTCTTATGATATGGAAGTCATTTAATGATAACAACAATAAATTTCTAAATTCCTTAGTAATGTAAGAGACGAAAAAATGTCTACTTTCATGTTAAAACATTACAATTTTTTTGTTCTGTAATCTGTTTTAAATCAATGCGTTGAACTCTTTTATATGAAGAACTTACATTGACCTATTCTTATTATTTTACCAATATTTATGGATTTAATACATTTAGGTGCGGACTTAACAAGATGGGCACAAGAATGAATCCTCTCAGTTCTTATGATGCGACTGTAGAGGCCTTTTTCCAAAAAAATTAGCACTATAACCACTAACAGTGGCATCTTGTACTCGATTTACGAAACACTTATTAATGTAAGGCTTTAAAGCACGCGATATAATGTATATTGCAGCCGATAGATGGCGGTTAACATAATTACTGACTGATTATAACTTTTTTTACTTATTTTGTTTCAGGTCCAGTGCCACTAGCTAGAAATATAAGACACTTGCCATGCATATCAAGAAGATCAGCTCAAGAGGGTTTATGCATGTTTGCCATAGATTGCCTTAAAGCAAACGGTACTCACTTAGGAACCTGTATTGACCGTTTCTATTTCGGTTCATGTTGCCAAATACCCGATAAAAGTATAATTCCACAAATCGTCGAAAATATCGATGATAATTCGATTGACGGTGCAAATTTCGTTCATCCACAATTAGAAGATAAAATCCATGGTATAGGAAACAAAGTAACTAGTGAAGCGACAAAGAAACCGTCTACAGAAAAGGTCATTGAACTTACAACAGAATCTCGGGTATCAGAGAGCTCACATGATAGAACTGATCCTGATGTATTAGAAACCAAATCCGATGAAATAACAACGCTCGATAACAAAATTGAAAACGATGAAAATAAATTGCATACAACAATAACCTTAGATTTAGCGCAAAAACAAACTACAAAGGTTACACAAGATGACATACCAGTTACAGATGTACCAATTAAACTTTCAACGTTCCAAACAGTATCTAGTAACATTGGGAATTTTGGAACGGATAAAATCAAGAATGATGAAATAGAAAATATTACTACGGTTGTACCGACCACTACTACTAAATCACCTGTAACAACTACTAAAGGGACCACTAAGCCTTTAGCATCTAGGAAACCTGTAAAACCTCCATTCAAGCCAAGACCTACGCTTCGGCCTATAACTAATTTCACGAGACCACAATTTAGTCCAAGCGGCAAACCGAGACCGACAAAACCAATTTCAGTATATAACTCAACAAGAAAACCTCCATATAAAACCCCACCAAAAAGGCACTCTACCAAAAAACCATTACCATCACCACCTAGATTAAATATAACGATAATTCCTCAATCATCTAGTGCAAGGCCGCTCTTTACTAGGCCTTCATCACCTGTCATCACCTTCATTAATTCAACTAATTCAAAGACAGAAGAAATTCCTACAACCACCACTACCACTTCAACAACTACCACCACAACTAAACGGCCTACAACATTAACTACAACCACGACAACAGTAGCACCAACAGAACGCAGCACAGAAGCACCAGAAACAACTATTTATGATTCTCCAACTACTGAAATTATCACAGAAAAACCTACAACTAAGCCAGTAGCTGTTGCTATAGAAGTAACTCAGGAAAGTGTACCGATAGAATCAGAGAAAGAAGCGATAACAGAAACGATAACTGAAAGGGAAACTGTTAAACCAGTGGCTGAGACAACATTATCGATAACTACGCCAAATTTAGCACCATCAACTGAATATCCGCCATTAGTGACCTGGTCCAGTACCGTCGACGCTGCAACTAAAGCACCAGATGTAGCGACCACGGCTTCGGATGGTATGTAAAGATTTTTACACTAACTTGTCTGCATGTAGTTTATCATAATCAACCCTGTTATAATTATTCTCTTCTTAAAAACCAACATTTAGACGTAATAAATATTTAGAGCGGGCGCACACCTTAAACTAAACTATTGTACAACTGTTGCACGATTATCGATTGTTTCGCAGCCAATTCTACTGATAAGTTGCACAACTAAAAATCGATTGTGTGCATATTTAGTAAGCTATAGGAGTCAATGCGCGATTTAACAGTTATGCGATAGTTTAGTCAAAGGTGTGCGGTGTTGTGGGCTATAACGGTGCATTACCACAATTAATCTAGATACCGGATCTATATCTCTTTTATCAATTTAAATGTCTAGAATTCTTTACCACTCATATTAAATGTTGTTTCTCGTTTCATTAACGACACTGACTCATCAAGTCATCAGATGATTCACCGGTAGTCAAGTTATTCGTAACCTCGATTTAAAATCTCAAAAGTTATAACTGCAATATGATTTATTAGTTTTTTATTCGGTAACAAAAAGTTACCGCTAGATAACGAATAATGTCCACAATGACAAGTTAAAATATTTACATAACACAAAAAAATAACAAAGCAATGTGTTAATTATCTTTAATTAATTGCTGTTACCGGTTTATACTTTATAACGTACTTTATAACATACGATCGAAACAAAATAAGTTTGGGATTTTTGTATATTATAAATTTTTATTTTAAAGTAGCTGTTGCTCGCGACATTTCCGCACGAAATTCAAATAATAAAATATATTACTCAGCCTCTAATACCCAGTGAAAACGTAACTTTTTAATTGTGAAAGAATTTTTGAAATCGGCTCAATAATTTTTGAATTATCTCAATATATACAAAAATACAAATCTTTCCTATTTATAGTATTAGTATAGATATCACTTATTCCTTTCAATCCAATCGCATTAAGATTATATTAAGTTATAGGTAATTTTCCATAGCATATTATACTAATGCTCGTATTTTACGGGCATACTCAATAACTAGCTTACCTAGAGATATGAGCTACACTTCGTTATACTTTTTAAGAAGTCAAGTCCGAAGTAAACCAAAGCTGCGTGTCTCATGGATAAACGTATAATGTGAAACGATAACCGACTCACGTATCGAGGTCGCGCATGACCCCAGTGAGGTCAGTCCCGCTCTGCCCCAGTGAAATTCCGCCTCACTTTCTTCAACACTGTTGCTAACAGATCACGACCATTGCTTTTGTTTTTTTTTTTTTATAAATCGTCTTAAATGTTACGATGTTTTGATTAAATTAACCTAAACCTAAACCTATTATTTTTAAAACTATTAAGAACGTAATCACTTTAGATTTTTATTTACTTTATATTTAGGTTTAGATTTTTTACATGTATTTAATGTAAAGATATTACATGATATATGTACGGTAGCTAAGGAACTGATTACAATAATTAAAATTCTTTTAACGCATATCGAAAATCATGTCAGTGTACCTATCATGCTAATATTTTTTAACTTTTATCTCAATAAACAAAACTGTTTATGGTGTATTCAATATCATCAATATCCTTAGGTCATTGACTTTTTGGTAAACAAACTTTAAAAAAATGCATATAAAAAACTTGGGTTAACAGGCACCATGGAGACACAGTTATACAATACACTTTATCTCGTTGTAATACGGTATAAAAAGCCTTATCAAAAATAATGTTTTTGTTACTTAAATTTTTCATTTGAATATATTGTCCGCGATATATTTGGACATGTAGCATTACAATTTGAATCGTTCATTAGTACACCATAAAACCTTTTTGTAAAATATCGTTTTTGGAACCAACATGTAATTCTACTACAAAATATTAAAGTTATCCAAAAAAAAATATCTTTAAATATTTAAATACAACAGTAACCTTTTAATACTTCCACTTATTTCAAACGTATTCAGTGATAATCAAAAACTTTAGAAAATCGTAGATACTCCAATCGTATGAGCAACCATTCATTGGTACTTTACTAAATCTTGAGCTAACGGTCAACGTTCATCCACACCACTTATGGCCGGCAATATTCCTCAGCTAATTTGTTAACAATCTAAGTTATTCGATAATTTTCGTAATGATTTCAAAAACAAGTTTACAAAGAGATACTTCGCAAACATCGTAATTCGGCTTGACCCGAGAATTTAGTGTAACTACCTTCATTTTTGAACTCCTGCCAACTCTCAACTGACCTTGCAACTTGAAAGTACATTGTTTATTGTATTTGTATAAGACATTGACATGTTCTACTTACACTGCTGCATTTAGCTATAATGCTAACTTGTAAATAAGAAAAAAAATCTTCTATATATTGCAATAGAAGAATATATTTGTAGCAAATCATAGACCACATTAAATAGAAAATTAAACCTTTTCCAAAATAATAACAACTATTTAAATATTTTCTTAATAAAAAATTATATTTGCTTTTCAGAAGTATGGTCGCCTATAACGCCACCCGAAGGCTGGGTTTTAATATCAACTTTAGAACCGAAACCTGATACAACAACATCTACAACACCCACTACCACTACTACTACAACTCCTATTACAACCACGACTTCTACCACAAGTACTAAGACTACCACGACAACAACTCCTTTAACAACTACAACAACACTCACAACAACTACAACAACACCCTCAACCACTACAACAGCACCCTCAACAACTACAACACCCTTAACAACTACAACAACACCTTCAACAACTACAACGGTAGCACCGTCAACAACAGTAGAAACATCACCAACTCAGCAACTTTCATCAGAAGCAACCTCGCCTTTAGTTGAGAGTACAACAACAGAAAAATTAACATCTTACATACCGACAAGTTCAACAACAGAAACTATCACTACAACAACAACAAGCTCACCGACCTCAGAAGTACCATCACCAACATCAGTGTTGACCGAGGCACCGTTACTTGAATTCACTGTTAATGTAACTTTGTCGCCAACTGTTCCAACGTCAACACCAAGCTTGACGTCAGAAAATGTTACAACGGCCACAAACTTTAACGTTACTGATACTACGACACTGGGAGTATCTGAAAATGGTAAGATAACATAATACTTCTTAACTAATATTTATTATTTAAGCAGACACATTAATCATCTATTTTACCCGAATTGTTTAAGCTATAAACAACATTAAAATTGATAATTTTCCTCTTTGAGGCATCTTTTGTTAAATTTTATGTGTATTTTGGGCCATATTAGATTGCCTTTCATTAACATAAAAAATGTATTTCCAATGACAAACTGCCAATAAACGTAACATTTTTAAATTATATTTATTTTGTTTACGATTTCAGAGACAACAACAGTATCTCTGAATGCTACATCGCAGACAACAATTAGCCCTGAAACCATCAATATGTCTGATTACAAAGATGGTAAGATTTTATATTGTTCTTGTTAAATGAATAAAAATTAAAATCAGTAGTAAACGTACTAATTAAAAGCAATTTGTTTGCACGTGGAAACGTTGCACGTTTATTACAATTGTTATTACGTTACAAAGCAATTTTCTATAGGGTCACAGCATCCTTGGCTACGCTGATTTCCGTGTATGGTCAAACGCATGTAACATTATATTTAGCAACGATAACTATAAATGTTATGTTACATTTTTAAATTGCACATAAAAAAAGGTTTTCATAAATTGCTGCAAGAACACTAGAGTATTTGCAATCGCGGAAGAAAAACAATTGAAAACATACCTTCCTATCATTTTTTATTTGTTATTCCCACTGTAATAATAATTACTTATTCGGTATCATAAAAATGGAGTAAAGGTAATTTGGAATAATTTGGTGCGATGTTTTGGGATGCCCTAAGTCAACATGACGCATCACTCGCCAGGTCAAAGAACCACCGAGCCTGCACAACTCCAGGCTGCCGAGCGTATCAACAATCACAAAAAATAAAATCAACTCTGTTCAGAAATTTTTAAACAAAGAGTTGTCAGTTCGCGCGCGTTGTGGCCGGACGCCATTGCCAAGGCAAACGCAAGGACGTGCTGCATTATCTGTGGTTATAGTTATTTATCGAGTGCATAATTGATAACAATTAAATAACTAAGCGATCTTAAAAACAACTGGCGCTTAAAAAATATCGTTTAAATTCTTGTCGTGGTTCTAAATCACATAATTCAATAAGCTGAAGATTTTTTCTAACAAAACGTCGCAAACAGCAAGTGACATTTATGTTCAAAACGGCGCCAAAAATATAATTTTTAATCTAACACATTTAGACCATCCATTCTAGACATTTAGACATTTAGAGCATCCACATGCGTTCCGTCACAATTATTTTTAAAATCCAAACCATAAAAGTGTATTTTTTTAATTTAACTAAATGAGGCAAAAGTACATGCGTTGTGACGTCATTTTTATGCGGACGATTTTTATCGCTGTGATTGAAAAATGATAATAAACTCTACGTTGGTGATGCTGGCAGTATGCGGTCGGCGGCTTTGGCCTCAGGGGCGCATCGTCGGCGGGACCAAGTCAAGCTTCGGCCAGTGGCCCTGGCAGATCTCACTGCGTCAGTACAGAACCTCTACGTACCTCCACAAGTGCGGTGCTGCACTTTTGAATGAAAATTGGGCCATCACAGCAGCGCATTGCGTTGAACAGTGAGTATATTGAATTCGTCTGTATGTTTTTTTGTTGTTGTTGTTTAAAAACATTAGGGCATTGTAAACACAATTTACTAGCTTTCTCCCGCGACTTCGTCTGCGTGGCAAAAAATAACGCCAAATTACATCAAGATAAATTTTGCCATTTAGACTACAAACTCTAACAAACATCCATCCATTCATCTAACTTTTGCATTAATAATATTAGTAAGATTACCAGTAATTTTATCGATTGCAAATAAGCTTAAGCCGGAACCTGAAACTAGAAGACAAGAGAGGATCGAAGGAGGGATTCAAACTTACCTTCTTTTTTATTTAGTCCGTACTCCTCTAGTGCGTTGCAAATTCAAATACTCGACAGAAAAATCGTATTGAGTTTTTATTGATTACATTAAGTAATTCCAATTTTCCCTTAACAACATCTTATGTTAAGGAAATAATTACTTGAACATATAAAACAATATGCAAGAAAATGAACATTCAAATTCTATCTAGTTTCTCAGTGAAATTAAAAAAAAACTAGTTGCTAACTTAATCACGACAATGACTTCGTGAATTTGAACATAATTATATTTAACGAGCAAGGAAAAATCGCAAATTATATCTCAGTCACATTCTATTGATAACTCCGAGTTAACATTGAAATTATTTTAAGAAACGACACTGAATGTTAGAAAAAATTGCAAACTTTTTGCCCAATTTAGATGAGGTAAAAACGTAATTATCTGCTTAAGGAAACTTACAATATAAGTTTATTAATAATTTATTTAACGTTTTCATAAATGTGAAAATTATTCTTCAGTCATTTATTATGTGCCTTAGCCTCTAGCAGTTCTTTAGTGTCGATTAACTCTCTAAAACTGCACTAAGGGACTAACAACTTCTTGGACAAAGATTAGTCCATTAGTTACTATATTTTTAATCTCTATTAATGACATAAGACTCACAAGTTATGTTTTAAGGAAGTTTAGCTTTATCTTAGCTCTTAGAATCAAACAAACGCTATCATGCGGTTGCGGGTAACCTCAACTTGTAACAAGCTATTGCACCGTATTGTAATAATGCATTACAATACGGTACTTGCTGTTGTAAATTGCATTTATTTCTTACTAACTTTCGCTGGCGATTCCGTCCGCGTGGAATTAAAAAAAATAAAAATAAGTAGACTATGTATTCTTTACCATCTATGCTAAATTTAATCAAGATTCGATCAGTTTACGCTATAAACTCTAAATAACAACATCTGTTCATCTAAATTTTCGCATTCATAATATTAGCAAGATATGTATAGGGACATAAAACCTATTTTTAATTAAAATCTCGGAGTTAAAAAATTTAAATCCAGTGAATATTGATGGAGGTTATGTTATGTTGTGCACTAAAATATACTTAAGGTTTAATATGGTATACTCACCACACTGCGCAAGAATTGTAATCAACACAAATCCACATTTTAAATCCTTAAAATTTCGAAAAATTTCTAACTAAAAAACAAAGATTTCATGTTAAAACATGAAAATTAAAACTTATAAAATCCGGCGATCCTTTTTATGCAATACAATATCTTCATATGCAAATAACCTACTTGCGTTTTGTATTATAATTTTTCGACAACGCCACGTGGCTTCAACTGAGGGTATTTGATATTTACGTATCGTTTTACGCAGGATGTAAAATATTACGATGCGTTTTGAAACAATTTAGTGGGAATGATAAAAGTAAATACAAATTATTACTTAACGTTTTAAAAACAAAATAGGAAACAATCGTTTAGTTAATAAAATTCATATTCAGAAAGAGAATTGCTTTCGAAAATATTAACTTATAAATTGATCTCCGATGAGTAAAGTGAGGGAGGGAAATGTAGTTGCAATTGTGGAAAATTTTTACGAACAATACTTAGCAAAATCTTTAAATCATAAGTAATACTTAAATACGAGTATTAATGTACTAATTAATATATTATAACTATAACTTTAAATTTTTCGTTCTCAGTGTTCCACCATCAGAGCTGCTCGTGCGACTAGGAGAGCATGACTTAGCGACAGAGGACGAGCCCTACGGGTTCGCGGAGCGACGTGTACAGATCGTCGCCAGCCATCCGCACTTCGACCGGAACACATTCGAATACGATTTAGCATTGCTCAGGTAAGTTAGTTATTTAATAAATAGGCGTATGCCATATTGTTGCCATATCTCTTAGAATTTTAACATATTCTGAAACCTGAGAAAGGAATTTTAAAAAGCAAGTAATTTTTGAGGTTATTTTGTAATTTGCTGAAGCTATTATTTTCAATTCATTAATATATTCATTGTAACTGTTATGCACAATTAAATGAAAATGGTATATAAAATCAATATAACGAACTTATATTAGATATTGTAATATTTCGTGAATGCGACTTTTTTACTCTGGTTTAAAAAGGTCAAGTGTAATGAAGAGTGACCGCTGAAATACGCTCCACTGAATATCGAAGGCATGCAAGAATTAAGGTCAATTAGAACGGTTAGCGTTCAGAAAAAGTGTTTAACTTTTGGTTAGTAAATCACATTGACATGTCCAACATACCATGTGTAAATTGTTGAATGGATTTCGTACGAGTGAGTAAAAATAATTAGAAATATCTCGCTAATACATATAGGTGCGTTCTTATGTTTTTCTTTTATTTATGAAAATGTCAAATAAAGGCCAATCTTGCAGTTTATATTGCTGCGTTCATGATTTAATCCTAAGTTTTGTATTATCTACAGGTTCTACGAGCCAGTGGCATTCCAGCCGAATATCCTCCCAGTGTGTGTGCCGGACAACGATGATGACTACGTAGGCAAGACTGCTTACGTCACCGGCTGGGGAAGACTGTATGATGGTTAGTAGCACTTATTGAGTGGATATGCTCTCCTGGTATCTTAATGTACAATTATATAAAGAATTCAATAACTGTGCTGTACTTTATAATATTACCTAATTTATATTGATGATTATTAATAAATTTAATGCTTAATTATGAATAAGTATAAATGTGAGGAAACCGGTAATACAAGGAAATTATTTACGTCCCACAGCAATAAGTTAATAAGTACTTCAATATTTTAAACATAGTATAACAATACTAATAACTCATATTATATAGAAATAATTAAACCTCCCGTTATTGAAAGAATTTTAGAACTCGGTAAACGGTAGTTTGTGAGTTTATCCGTTAACAACTGTAAGGGTCTGCCTCACTATTGACTGATAAAGGCTCAGATAGCTTAAAACTGACATCACCGTCAGATAACAAAATCCGATATTTCTCATTGGATTGTATCAGACAATTTATAATTTAGTGAGACATACCCTCAGAAAGATTTCCTCGTTGTTGAAAGTGCGTGTTAATTATAAACAAAATCATCTTTTACTATACTATAATGTATTAATTTGTGTATTTTATCTGTCAGAGGGTCCTCTGCCGACGGTACTACAAGAAGTACAAGTGCCGGTGATCAACAACTCCGCGTGCGAGGCGATGTACCAGGCGGCGGGGTACACGGAGCACATACCTAACATCTTCATCTGCGCTGGATGGAAGTCTGGAGGCGCGGACAGTTGTGAAGGTTAGTTTGTCCTATTATTTCTAGTGCCAATGACCTTGATCTGCTAAAACATAAAAATATCTCACTTTATTTTTTACTGGCTGTTTCTCGTTGTCCACGTAAAATTAAAAATTGTAAAAATAGCCTGTGTTGTTCACTGATAACGTAGCTTTTTAATAGCAAAAGAATTTTTGAAATCGACCCAGTAGTTTTTGAGTTTTTTCAATACATACAAAATACATTTTTTATAATAGTATAGACAGTCTTTCGTTAGTTTTTTTTTTGTCTTTATGGAATTTAATTAATTTTAAGATCGTAATTGTGACCAAATTATCACTTACTGATTTAGTAAATCTTTACTAATTTTAAAAAGAGGAAAGATTTGCATTTTTGTATGTATTAAAGTATAAAAGTAACGTATCTGTGAGTAAAATAGGCTATATATTTAATTTCACGCGGATGAAGTCGTGCGCAACAGCTAGTTTGTTATAAAGGGTAAATCACGGTTTGCCTATTTTGACACTTTCCCTGTGACGTAGGAGACAGCGGTGGGCCAATGGTAGTACAGCGCGAGCGAGACGCGCGCTTCGTACTGGGCGGCGTCATCTCGTGGGGCATCGGCTGCGCGGAGCCCAACCAGCCCGGCGTCTACACGCGCATCTCCGCATTCCGCGACTGGATCAACCAGATACTGCAGTTCTAAAACCGTCACATTCTGAAGTTCTAGAACTTACCATCGCTCTTTGTTAAGAAGATGTGAGAACTACGCGGTATCAATAACTTCAGCCATTCTGAATATGTCCGTGTATGGTGTTACGATAGTTGTAAAATGTTACAACACACTTTCATAAGAGCGTAATATTGAAATCAACGCATCTATACAAACGTAAATTGCAACGTTTTTCTATATTTTACTCACTGTCCTGTGTCAATTTAGTTAGCATTCCAGTTTTTAATTCAAAAATTTAATGTTTTCAGTTTCATATTGTTTTTACAATCTTAAACTTAGTGTAACTCTAATGTTAAGTACATTGAATAATTGCTCATCAAAACGGATACAAGTAGAAAACCATATTTATAAGTGTCGATAAGTAATTTATGTTAAGCTTGCGTTTTTATTATGAAATTGTATGACATAAAAATAAAAATGCTAATACCTTTTGAAACTAAAAATATCATTAATAACAATTGATATTTTATTTATAGTTTGAAAGATAATTTGACAACGAATTTAATAAACTCATTATTTTAAAGATGCTTTAAGCGCGAGCTCCATTGTTCAAACATCTGTACAATTGACAGAAATTGTAAGTTTTTCGAATCAGCAATGGAAACTTGTGCTAAGTATTTTTTTAGGTTATTTATAGGTTAGATTAATTAATCGTTGAATAACGATTGACGAATTTAAAAATGATTATTTTAAGACTAATGTGTAAAATATTTAACTAGAAAATACTATACTTCCCCATACAAGATATTAATAGGTTAAGAATTTTTTTTTTTTTCAATTATAACTCTTTGTAGGTACCTTTTCTATAATCTTTGACTTCATTTTTCCGTCCATAAATTATTCTATTTGTTAAGTATTAATTCGTAATTGTAAATAATGTTACATTTTTAATAAAAATGCATTTATTAATAGTATTTATCAATTAGCCATAATTAGAAGAAATTTTTAATTGAAGAAATTGTTTAAAAAAAACAAATTTGAAAAATTTTGTATTATGAAATAAATATTTTTCTATGTTCCAATTGCCTTTTTTACTTTATTTCTTGTTGTAATGGTACATGGCGGGATTCGAACTCAAGACCTTGTAGATTACAAGTCAAGTGCTTAAGCTACTGAGCCACCGACGCTACAATATTTCAATACATACAAAAATACAAATATTTCTTTATAATATTAGTATGGAACATTAAAAAAAAACGAATTTAAATATGAAAAGAAATCATTTATTGGTAAGTTTACAATGTTCACTTCATGTGTATCATGTGAGCGAGCGACCAGTTCTGTCCGATCTCCGTGGGCTCCTCGACGCGCACGCCGGCTGACGTCACCACGCCCAGCTGGTAGCGCGGGAACGAGCGCGCGTCGCGGTAGTACAACACTTCCATACATTTACGGGCTAATGCTCTGCAAAATATTCGTAAGTATAAATTAACTTCCCCTCATAGCACATTATCACTTAGCTTTCGCCCGCGAATCTATACACGTGGAATTGTGTGTTCTTCCAGACTAAGATCTACATGTCAGCCAAATTTCATCGAGATCTGTTCAGCACTTTCAGCTAGAAACTTTCTCATTTATAATATTACTAACCACCTATTAGATCAATCAAATTTGATTTGATAATTACTGAAAAAGTGTGAGATTGTTGGATTGTCTACATTACAGAAAGTAGTTTTAAATATATCAAACGCCACTAAACCTTACCAGTAAAAAAATTGCAAAATGTTCAAGAATTTACATTATCTTAATGCTACCATAATAGAGTTAAAGACTGACGAATGACGAAAACAGACAAATTTTATCGCCGGTAGCAAATTTTAAGTTGTAGATAACAAAACAAAATTTATGTTTTAAGACATAATAGAATGACATACTTAGCTGATTCCTCATTCAACGGTCCCTTGTCAAGTACATCACGCAGCAAAGGTGTTGCCATGTACGCGCCCATGCCGGTCGCAATCGCAGCATCTTCATATGCTGTTCCCAACTTGTCCACTGCTCCGAGGAATGGCTCACCATCCTACATACAAAATTAGGATTAACATTATATTGCATACTGGCTATTATTCACATTTAATTAATAAATATATTATAAAATAAAGCCTATGTTACTCAGTGGTAATGTTTTTTATTGGTGTAAAAATTTTGTCTTGTCTACTAGCCCTTACAACTATGCTAATGGTCACCCACAATTTATTTTATCATTTGATTTAAAATAAAAAGTAGACTACAATGTTCACATTTTCATCAACTTCCTTCCTGTAAAATTCCCGTCAAAATCAGACCAGTTGTTCCATTGATTAGCCAAAACAAACACAGCTTTGAACAGAAATTGAAACTTTAACAAAGGACATTGCATATTATCATAGAAATGAATACAATAATTACCTGAATACCAGCGACAACATAGTTGCTCCACAAAGGATCCATCTTGCTGCGCTTGTTGTAGAGAACTCTTGTGAGCCAGCAGTGAAGGGATTTGGGCTTCAGCTGCAGACCATCTCCAACACAATGCTCATCAATACTGAGGAACAGTACATTGACTATTATTGGAATTTAAAATGATACATCTCTAAATGAATATTACAAGGGTGGAAATCTAAAATAATATTCAACTTTCAGGGTGCAGGATGTCAAACAAAAAATTGTAGTGGCACTGTGTTCACAAGGCATGGATCACAAAGAACCATTTAACTGGAACATTTGTAGTATGTTAGAAGAGTTTAACAATAGTTTACAAGTTATGCATTAAAAATGTTGTACTCACATTTTCTGCTCAATGATATCTCTCAGATATTGATAATCAGCGTAATCTCCACCAGAACCAAGAAGAATAAGATCATTGACCTTTAATACACGGGGACAATCTCTAAATCTGGCGAGAGAGCCATAAGATCCGAGGGTATCGGCCGCAATTACACATCCTTTATCAAATTTTATGCCAATTACAGTAGTGGTTGTGGTTATAGGAGCTGCTGAGCTGAAACAATCAAATCAGATGTTAATTAAAAAAAAATTAAATCAAGCATAATCATTAACATCAGTGATTGTTCTTACTGGGCTCTGAAATCCTGGTTAGTGTGGCTCGAAGGTCCGTGATTTGAATTTCCAGGGAAATTATAGAAAGCACCTGGAGATGGTCCATTTTGCCATAACGGCGAAGGGCTTATCATATCACCCATGAAAGCCATTGTTATATATTTAGCTGGAATTAATGAAACGTTAAATTAAAAAGTTTTCTAACAAATTTTTGTATTGTAATGACAAATGACAAGCGGCATTGAAATATGACAATTAAACTCACAGAGTATATACAATTGAGAATATTACGAGAATGACCATCACTTTTTGGCTCGTATAATAATTAGCATGTAAAAGATAAACAAAAACCTATGAAAAAAGAAAAACCTAATTCTCGTTTCCTTTTCAAGGTTGCGTTTAAACCACCCATATAAAAAATATTAAATACCCATATATAAAATTGTGAAAAGACCAGAAACCTCCTTGCAAAATATAATTTTAAAACATATAAAATAAAACAAAACCCGTATTCGCTCGTAAAAATAAAAACCAATGCTATTTCTTGTTTCAATTAATATTTGCAAAACTCATTTCCATTAAATATTTTAAGTGACAACTTGAAGTCAACTTCAGCATAAAAATTGGGAGAATTATTATGTTTTAATTGGTAACACAGAATGCTAACTTCATCTCTATCGCGATCCTTTTGAATCCCTCTTTTAAAAAGTGACACAACAAAATGTCTAAGAGAGGTTTGTGAATTATAAAATATCCGTTGTAATCAGTCCCATATTATAGAAAATTACAATTTAAGATGTTGAGACTATATCCCAATGTGTTCGTAGTCTATAATGCGCGTTTATTTTTGGTATCTAAATGTTTTCTTCGTACTAAAAGTGTTGTAGTGAACGATGTTAAAGTGTGCATATTTTTTGTTTTTAAGGACGTGGTGGTTCCGCGGGAGCGAAGTTCCGTATCTCACTGGGTTTACCAGTGGGTGCCGTTATAAACTGCGCCGACAACACAGGTAAATCTTTCTACTTGTTTGTATTCATAACCTATAATTACTACTGAAGTGACTGAACACACCGATGATGATCAAATATACGTTATTTTATGAAATTCAATGATTTCTTCCTTGGCTGTGTCTGAGGTTGTTCAGTCTGCAAAACTATAGTTTCAATAATAAACACATGTTCACATACATGCTCGAGAGTAATTTAACAAAAATGTCATTAACAATTTATGTATATGAAACAATTTTTGAATATGTTATTTATTCAAATACTATTAAATTAATGTAATATTTCTAACACAAAGGAAATAAAACGGATAAATCCTTTACCCGTTTTATTTCTTTTTGCAACTTACCCTGTCATAAAATTGTAAACATGTGTTTTTATTACAGGAGCAAAGAACCTCTATGTGATTGCTGTGCAAGGTATCAAGGGTCGCCTGAACAGGCTCCCAGCTGCTGGCTCTGGTGACATGATTGTAGCCACCGTCAAGAAAGGCAAACCTGAACTCAGGAAAAAGGTAAGCTTAAAGATAACTATATTTGTATGAAAGATCTACATAATTTGTGTACTGTCAAACTAGCGTGTATCTGGTTTAGAATATATGTACTTTATATCAATTCGTCTATAGTCTATTATATATTCGTAATTAGTCTAAATAATAGTCTAGATTTTTATGTCTAACTTTGTGACAACAATTACCAACAGGTTCAATAAAGAAAATTAAGGTTATCTGACAGGGGTTACAAATCTTTACATTAACATGCCATTTTACTTAGGAAATGATTCAAGTGGTCATAGATGTGCCATCAAACAATTTTGACTTAATGACTATTGGATGTAATCCATAGCATAGTAATATCTTTATTTGTAGTTATAATGAATATTGTGGTTAGTGAAATGGACAAAATATTGTGCCATTGGTTCACCACCCCTTATCTATATTGATCATAACTAAATCAGTAACATGATGATATGCCAAAGGTTTCGCTATATATTTATAACCTGAACCTCCCTAAAAGGTCTGTAGATATACCTTGGCTGACTGAAGTGACAATGTCCAAACATTTTTTACCATTTCAGTAACTTGTATCTGCAGTAACGCATTTTTTACATTATTTCAGGTAATGCCTGCAGTGGTCATCAGGCAACGGAAACCGTTTAGAAGGCGGGATGGAATTTTCATATATTTCGAAGACAATGCCGGCGTCATAGTAAACAACAAAGGAGAAATGAAAGGCTCAGCCATCACCGGACCTGTAGCCAAAGAGTGCGCTGATCTGTGGCCCCGTATTGCCTCAAATGCAAGCTCAATAGCTTGAGTATAATATAAACTTAAGAAAAGTTACAAATCTTTTATTTTTTCCCTTTAAAAACAATTTATAATCTAACAACAAAAAGTCAATCACCTGTCAACATTTACGAATGTCAGTGACATTGTGGAGTGTTAAAAATTAAACATTTGGATAAAGAAATAAATATGAACATGTAGGAATGAATAGGTTTAATCATTTTTACTGAAAGGTCATGCTTGCATCTTATTTTATCTAAATCCTTTTGCCTCAATAATCTATGAAGTTGACAATTTAGTAATTCAGTTTAGTGCTCTCCAAAATATGCAAAGAGCACATTTTCTTTTTCATATTTCAAAATTCATCAACCTCCTCTTGCATGTTTTATACATTGTAAATTGACCATTAAGTTTAGCTTCTCACCTTATTTCTAACATGAATGAAATAAAACAAAATGTATAGAAAGACTTATTTATATTTCCTTATGCCTAAGTAATAGACATTACATAGAGTTATGCAAAGCACTTCGGTGTTATGCTATATATAAAGCTATAAGAAAACAAATATTTTCTTTTAAAGAAAATTATTAACTAAAGCACAATATTTGTTCATATCTAATACATTTTAGTTTTATATCTGCTATATTCCCATTTGATGTTATGGTCTATTAATGTAACAGACAATTGGATTTAAAACATAATTCAAAAGTTCCAACAAATAATTAGTGCAATACATAACTCAGATGTTTATTTTTAATGAATACAAGTTTTTTATCGCCTCTTCTTGTGGGTTTTGGTTGGTCCTTTAACAAAACACCAGTCAACTGAGATTGATTGACCCAAGATATCTGCACCATCTAGTGACTCACGGGCACTCTGAAAATTATTAAAGTTTTTTAACTATTGGTTTATCAAATAAGAAAGTAGTTAATCATAATCAGTACAATAAAAAGTTCAGTGCCCCTAATTTAGGGATGTAGTCATCCATACATTGGCTAAAGCCTAGTGACTTGTCAATTATGCTGGCTGTCTGTGTTTGTAAACTTCACTTAATACGCTAAATTTCCTTGCAAATATATGCAATTTGTATCACAATGTTACCTTACCATAAAAGTGTTGGATAAATTTTCATATGAAATTCGAATAACACACAAGGCAAGTAACAAATCTGGACATATACAGATTATGGTCTGGTCTAAGCACTAACTGTGCCACCAATAGTATGTAGTAGGTACTCAAAGAATTAAATCTTACCGCAGCTTGTTTGTATGTTTCATATTCCACTAAAGCATATCCCTTTAAGAATCCAGTGCGGCGATCCAAATTTAAATGTATATTTTTGATCTCACCAAACTCTGAAAACTGGTTCTGAAAGAAAGTATACTTTTGTAACAGACTATTTTTATTCTTTACCATAAATGGCATAAACACATACTAATTTATAACATGTTTCTTGAAAAGTTCTTTGTGAAAGACTATATTTTTAAAAAACATTTCCTACCTGTATGTCTTCTTCTTGTGCTTCTTCATGAACATTGCTGACAAACAAAATCCAACCCTCAACTGATCTCTGTGGACCTGGGGTATTACCATCACCATCAGGGGCCAAACTATCATATCTAAAAAAAAAACAGACAAATTCTGTACCTCCTTCTTTTAGGAAGTTAGTCAATAAGAGTACAAGAATATAAATAGATCATATTATTATATGAATAACCATATTGGGTATTTTCTTCTTACCTTCCCCTATTTCCGCGCTCTACTGCACCACCGCCACCGCCTTCGTTGCCAAATCCACGACCTTTACGTTTTCGCGCCTTCTCTTTAAGTCTTGCAATTCCCTCTACAACAAATGATACAAACAATCAAACCTAAATTGAAACAGTTATAAAATTATAACTTATTTAGCGAGAAAGCAATGTATTTTATTTATGACGCTACGTACGTTCACCGTCTTCGTCAACCTCAAATTCTTCGGAATTTTCAATGTCCAATACATCAGCCATGGTAGATTAATACAACACTATTAGCGAATGGATGTTATTTTAGGTGATCTATTTAGAATAAGTACTGTTAATTAAATGTGTAATACTTTCCAATATTTATATTTCAACTATAAAACACCTTTTGCAAACGATGCGCAATATGTCAAACAATTACATCAAAGAGTTGTTATTGTGAGTTGAACAAGATTGAAGACAAAGAGTACAAAGTTAACTGTTTTGAAAAATATTTTGTGAAGAAAGTAGAAAAAATATCACTCTTATTAAAATTCTGTCATTGTTCATTACGAAAATTAAAAATGCCAAGTGTGATGACATATTTCAAATGATTATTTAAAATTATTACAGTATTTCGCTATTTTTTTTAATTTAATTACTTGAAACATTGTTAAAATGTTGGACAGTACAAAACCAGAAGTGAATAAAATAAAACATATTGAGTATCTTTGTTCGGATTTAGGTCTTAGATCTCCACCAACTGTAAGGTCGTCTTCTTCAAATTTAAAGGTTGACCAAGTTATAATTGAAAGATACACTGAATTTATTCAATCAAAATCCACTCTGTTGACAAATGTAACAAACGAACCTACAGAAAGATCCTTTGACTACTTTGATGAAGAGTTTGCTTTTGGAATCAATTTACTGAACAATAATGTCTCTTGTGTTGGGAATAACATGACTAAACTTATTCAAATGGGTACGAATATGGTATTTATTTTATTACAGTATTCTTTCTTTAGTTATTTTTACAAAGTTAGTAGGTAAAGTAAGAGGAAAACTAGTCTAGCAAATGTGAAACACAACAGTAGTGACAATTTTGTTTCAGAGATTTTATAGGATTTTGGGTATTCAAATACCTCATAAATACAGAAGATTGCAATGCTAATTTTTTCATGGTTATCATTTATATTTTTTACATTTACAACCTTCATTCAAACTCTACAACCATCGATATTTGTCATAATCTATCAATTAAAAAAATGACAGCACATGTCATGTGTTTTAAAAATTATTGAAATTGAGTTCAAATTTGAATTAGAGTTTTTGATTTCACATCTCCATTCTCCATTCGAAATAGTATAGTATAAATTGGTAATTAAGGAATGCCCGAGATGTCTCTTCAGGAGTCCATTCTGACTTCACTCAATGGTAATAAAGTACATTTCTTATAACATGAAAGTTTGTTTTACAATAAGTTACATAATTAAAGTATTTTCTATTTTTATTCGCCGTTTACACCGCTATCGCTTAATTATAGATGCAGGGTGCCCTATATCTCTGTGAGTGCTAAGCTTACATCATTATCTCCACCTTATTTGCGTCCTGAAGTGTGAAAATGGACGGCGACCCATTTGTATTTGGTATTCAGAATTCACAGATTTGCGTGTGATTTTAAACCATAGTAGCATAGTCCCTTTGCTACTGGAGAATTATAACACATAGGAAATAATTTATTGCCTTGGAAAGTGTTTGTTTTTGTTATAACCTAAAATAAAATCATTCCCTCTTTGAATCCAGGCTTTGTTAGAACTGTTTACTGGATCTTAACAAGTTATATAAAAAAAACTGGAATATAAAAGTGATGTTTACTGTGGTACTTATAAAAAAACTTAAATATATTTTTCTGTTAAAAATCTATTTATGACAAGATTATTACAGAGTTTATAGTTAGTTTAATATTGCTGTGTTTGTGTTACCATTTAAATAAATTGATTTTTCAATTGTCATTTCCTGTGGCCTAAATGGCCTGACCAACCTAGAAGAAAATGTTCTCATTTCTATAGAACTCTGCTCGGATTGACAAAATAGTGTAGAGTTGGGTTTTTAGTGTTTTCTTAAATTAAGTATTGCTTGTTTATGTATATAACATATAATATGTTCTAATTTTATTAATAATGGATTTAAAAATGTTAAATCTTGTCATTACAGCTCAGGAGCCATGGCCCGACAATGTCAAACTATTTCAGCCATATGAAGTTGAACAAATTTTGCTGCCTGATAATGCTAGTTGTCTTGCAGTACAAGCATTTTTAAAGGTACAAAGATGTTTAAATAAGAATTTAAGAAAGCACTACTAAGAGTGCAAATGTTAGCTTATAGTAGTTTTTGGTAAACAGTTTTGAGAAAATGTATGATTTCAGGCAATATTATTTTGATTACTTATTAAATAATGCATCTGTAACTTTTAACTTGTTAAATAAGGTGCCCTTTTGTTCAGTTACCCTTTGATTAAAAAAAATCTATAACAAATGTGACCACACTGACCTCTATAAATGGACAGTCTATAAAGAGTGGTATTTTGGGTCTATTTGTTTTACATAATTTTGGCTCTGACATTATCATTGGGGAGGATTCTAACTAATATTTGAGTTGATGAGATTTAGAATTAATTCTCACCTTTCCATTTATAGAGATTAGTGGATTTTTAGATGTGTTCTATCTATTAATAATTTATTTACAGATGTGCAATCTTCCGTTTGAAGTGGAGATGCGTTGGAATGCGGAATTCATGTCGCCGTCTGGCCGAGTACCCTTTATAAAGTGTGGCGCGTTTGTTGTGTCCGAGTTGGAACCTATTGTACAGTTTGCGGCCAATAAAGGTGTAACACTATGTGGTCGTTTGTCTACCGAGGAGAAGGCTGAGATGAGGGCATATATGAGTCTCATCACAAATGTCCTTGTTAATGCTGAGGTATTTTTAAATTTTTTCATAAGTAGACAAATGTTTACAAGTTAGATGATTTGATTTATTTGTTCTCTAACTACTATTTGGCGGCATTTACTCGACTGCATGAATATGTATACATTTACATAACTAAAAACTTGTAGAAGCTTTCGGTTTTAAAAATACAAAAAAAATCTTAAATGCTGTAAGCATGTGTTAATACAGAATATGGATGGATACACCTATGCACATTTGAAACTAGCTGTTCTCGTGCGGCTTCGTTCGTATAAAATTATAAGAACTTTATGTTATTATCTAAATTTTCAATTGCAAATGTCAAAATTACTTTATCTTGCTTTTTTATGTTGGCAGCTTGATGTTTATGATCCTTTTCCCACTAGAAGTTCTTTTTTCCAATTTATTTACCATCTAAATTTAATAGCGTAAAAATGTATAGCCTAAATCATGCCAAAAGTGTGTTGCTTTTTATTAAAGATAGAATTAATCAAAGATATGCTGTGAATGTGGCCACAAAATAGTGTGTGTTTACGCTTTATTATATTATTGTTAGTATAAAAGTATAGATATAGATTGAAGGTGTTTACAAGGTTCTGAAGCTTTGTAAATGTATTTGTGCAGCTGACTGTACTATATCTTGAAGTCAGTACTAATAGATCTAAGGTATATGTTACGATGTGTAAAAATGTTTATTACATGTCCCACAGCTGTACATTTCATGGGTGGATAATGACACATTCAATGCGGTGACACGTGTACGGAATGCCTCTGTCTACCCGTGGCCATTAGGCTGGCTGCAGACTCGGTCAAAGAGGAATACCATTATAAAACGATTGAAAGCATTGCACTGGTATGACAAGACTTTGGACCAAGTTTTAGCTGATGTAAGTGATTTATAGTGTACTGTTGCTCCTGACTTTGTTCGCGCGGGATTTAAAAATAATTTTAATTAATATTGCCAAGCAAATATGAGCTAATATTTGTTTATACTGTTTATTACTATGTTTGACTATACCGCGTTTATTTGTAAGGATGTATGTCTTTAAGTATTAACATAGTTTACTAATGTTGAAAGTATTTTTGAAATTGGCTTAGTAGATTTGAGTTTTCCTCTGCATTTGCTTCAAGTGTTAAAATTTTACCACTGTTTCAGGTTGAACAGTGTTGTAATTCTTTGAGTCAACGTCTCGGTGAACGGGACTACTTCTTCGGAACGTAAGTGTTAACTTAAATTAAATACTTATTATTAACTTTGATTAAATCTTCATATCCAGGACATAAAACTAGGAAAGAAAAAAAACGATTTCAGATGGGAACTAATGGGAGTAGTCTATGTTTCCTTATTACTTTTTATATGTTGTAAACTAAGCAACCAGTGGTTACACGTAAATCCTGTGAGTTTTTGTACCACCTATAGCATTTTTTTATTGTATTTTTATCAATTTATGTTTTTGTCTGATATAAAAAAACTGTCTTAGTTAAATTAGGTAGGTAAAGTTATTGTCATACATGAATTAATAACTTTCCTTTTCCCGTTTTACCTTTTCCCTTCAGTCCAACTCCTCTTGATGCTTTGGCATATGGTCATATCAGAGCACTCCTGTCCGCAATCGGCCCTAAAGCTATACATATGTTTAAACCCATAACAAGCTGTTTGCTCAAACATCTTATGAGAATGACTAATCTAACGCAATTACCATTAACGGTGAGTTAATTACCCTTATACTAATATAATAAAGCGTAAACACACACTTTGTGGCATAAGATGTCAGTAATCACAGGCTATTTTTGAATAATACTTTTTTTTAATAAAAAGCTTACGACACGCTTTAGGTCTATAAATTTTCACGTTATTAAACATGGGGCGTAAATAAACTAGACAAAACCTTCATATGGGAAAGGGACCATAAACTACAAGGTACCAACATTACGGAAGCAAGGTTATCATGGTAACGGTAATTTTGACATTTGCAATTTGAGAATTTGACAAATGTAAACAATTAAATAAAGTTTTTTATAATTTCATACGGATGAAGCCGTACGGGAACAGCTAGTTTACTAATAATATAAATGCGGAACTCAAGATGGATAGTTGGTAGAATCTACAGTACATCCATACATTCTAACAACACATTTTAAGACGGATCTAGATGAAATTTGACACAGATGTAGAATATAATCTGTATGAACACAAGCTACTAAGTTTTTGTATTAAATTTGTGCAGAATGGGGTCGTAGACAAAAAAATTTAAAATATTACCAACTACAAAATACTCAATCATTAGGGACATACTCAATTTCTGCGTATACCTCTGAATTAAGGGTCGTGAACTTAGTTGTAAATAGTCAGGGGTAACTCTACTAAAATGTATGATCCGCAGATCAGCTCACGGTTCACGTGTGACACCTGTTCATAGAGTTAGCGTTTCGAGATGCGAACTGCGAGTTATTATTCGGCTCACATTTATAGTACAACGCATTGAGCCGTAAGCTGACAAATTAATTGAGCCACAACTCAATAGTTCTGAACTGAATCCACAGAGCTGGTTTATAGATTCATGTTTTAGTTGTATTGTTTTTAATTTTGTCATTCAGCCACAAGAAGAGTATCTACTGAAGCAAGCGTCACGAATCTCGTTCCGTAGATCTCTGTCGCCGGAACCGAATATTGTTCGAAATAATATAAAACGTTCCAAGTTGTGCATCAAGAAATCGAATCGCGATATCACGGCCAATTCCAGAGATGTTTTTGGTTATTGCATTTGTAATTCATTAAGTATGTAGTTTAGTTTACAATCGATTGTCATTTGTTTAATCTTTAAAAATCATATTTAACTAAAATATTTTTTTCTATATGGCAACACTAATTTTAATACAGATTATCATACAGTCGTGTTGCCTTTTGTTTAAATATCCATCAACAATCTAATGTTTAAAATAGTTTTGGTTATTTGTGTTTTTAAATATGTAAGAGTTCTTATTTATTCAGGCTTCAAACCTTTTGCGTCAAAGCAAATCATAATAATGACGTCTAAAGAAGGGAGAGTCACTTGTAAATATGACGAACCTTGTAATTACCCGAACTATGATCATTATGAATTCCTTTATGAATTAGTTGATGATATTGTCAATAAAGCTGGGAAAATTATTGCTGAAAAGGAAATTATCCTTATGGAAAAGAATGATTTTGAAATTATCTCTGATTTAACTGAAGAATGTAATTACCTTGCAATGGATAATATCAATAATTACTTGGAAACGATTGAAGAGAATAATATGACGAATAAAACTTACTCGATAGATAATGGTGAAGATTTGATACAAGGAATTAATGAGGAAGATGTGATTGATGGGCTCGTGGCCGATAACCGTTTGACAAAAGTGGTTTCTAACGAAGGGGATTTAACTCAGTATAATGTTTTTACGAAATCCGATTATAGGTTAGTTAATATTATCAGTATCGACGTTATGGTAGAGTGAAGGCTCCCACCCAGGGCGTCAGGGCATCTTTCTTTTAGGGCACCGTAGAATTCTCGCCCAGGGCCTATTCTATGATCCGTGAATTATGATATCAAAATAGACGTTGTAAATGTTTTTTACTCTTTGATTTTTTTTGACAGTCAAAATAAGGTATACGAATATTTGGATACAATTAGGTGCGAAAGAAAATCGTCTGATACATCAATTAATACTCAGATCTGTCACTTGCAACTTGCGATACCAGGTTCGGATTTTTTTACTTTGTTTTTTTTTTGTACTTGGATATTTTTGTTGTAGTTGTAGTTTGTAGTTTAAACTGCGGAACGGATCTTGATGAAATTTAGTATAGTCTAGCTGTTGCTCGCAACTTCGCCTGGGTGAAAAAAAGTAGTAAAAGTTTAGGTCATGTTACTCACGGGTAACGTAGCTTTTTAATTGTGAACGAGTTTTTAAAATTGGACCAGTAGTTTAAAGGAACAAAAACAAGCCAATAACAGTAAAGAAGCTATATTGCTATGGTAACGGTTAGCCAATGGCAAAGGCTTTCGTTGGCATTTAAGTTTGAATATTAGAATTTTGATTTGAACAGAATGTAAATAATAAAGTTTCTATATCATGCGGATGAAGCCGTACGGTAATTTCTAATCAATCTAGTTTTTTTTAATTTACGATTAGAATTCGTTGTAAAAATAGTAAAAGGTAACTGTCAGTAATATTTCAGGTTCTAGACGTACGTCAATTAACAGTCCTTTGAACGAAGAGATGACATTAGATAATTTTATGGATTGTTTGAGCAAGAAGAACGTCATTGTTAGCGGCGGCGTTCATGTGGCGGAAGTCGATTAATTATTGGAACTTTAGAGTACAAAATAAGCTGCATTAAAAAAATCTTCACGTTCACACATGTTTTCCCGAATTTAATGAAATATTTGGTTTATGTCGAGATATATTGATATCGTGAATCATTGTTGTTTTTTCTTATTTTCAAATTCGAGTGTTAGTACTAACGATATTTGCAAATGTTTTTTTTTTAATAAATTTTTGGTTTCGAAAGTTAAGAAATTAATCTTTTTTATGCCTGTTGGTTTTTGAGGGTTTGACAAAACGTCACATCGTGTAAGTGTGTATATTCATGTTTACGTAATTTCTTTTAATTAATAATTTTTTGTATTTAGACATTCATTACGGTAATCAATTTTTAATTTTTACTATAACAACATTCCAATCCTTTATCTTCCTCTTCTCTTAAACCATGGGTTATTTAGCCATACATTTAGTTTAGTACTAGTTTACAATTTTATTTGGATAAAATATAGTCTGCTCTCTATAAATGGATAGGCTATAAGCCATAAGTTAAAGATGATTAGGCCATAGTCAACTACGATACACTACGGGTTAACATTACACATATCTTTTAATTTATTCGCCGTTATGTGCAGGTTGTGTCACTATGTTTTCCTTTACCGTAAGAAACTCGATATATATGTTCAGAGCAGCGCGGCTCTTTGGCTCCTTAACTGCGGCTCTGATCTACTCAAACTATCTAAGGTCATGCAAGCAGATTCGCATTACTAGAGCTAATTAAATGTAATAAAAGCTTACTAAACTAGCAGATTTGGCTTTCAATGTTTTAATTCGTGAATTTTGGCTAATATATTTGCCGACAACTGATTTATATTAATTATTATCAACAGTCCTACAGAGTTGGATGCTCTAGTGTTCGGCCACGTGTTTACGATAATAACGACGCGGCTGCCGTGCCGCAGGCTGGCGGACATCGTGCGGCGACACGACTCCTTGCTGGCGCTCGCTAAGCGCATCGACGAGCACTACTTCAAGCGGCCATAGCGTCACGTTTTCAAGGACATATCTACCGTATTTAGAAGTCCTTGAATCCCTTCCTATACACTTAGATTCGGATTTTACGCTTGGTTCACACTTGGACAGGCCAAAACTGGCATTGAATTCGCATAATACTAGTTGTCGCCAGTGTATTTTATGATTGCTATTGTCTAAATGTAAAAGCCAAGTGTGAACGAGGCGTCAAATAATGCCCATTTTATATTATACCAGAGCAGAAAAATCCAACGATGGATAAGTGGAGATTGTTGAGCCACACTGGAATGCATGGGTTATCATTGGATTGGTGTAATGTAAACTGGACTTTATTAACACTTGCGTTTCGATAACTGATGAAACGTCAATTATATTTGTAAAAGAAAATAAAGTTAAAAGATTGTTTTATAACTATCAGATGTGCAATTAATAACATCACAATCATTGTTGACCTAATGTTACTTAAATAATATTTAATTTTTTATTTAAATGTAGTTTTAAAAGTATAAGAGTAATAGTTTAGGTGTTTAAATAACATTGGTGAAAGTTTCTTTCTTAAATTGATTAAAATCTGTTGGTAAAGCTTTGCATTATTTTAAAGAAATAATGTCCACTAACAAATGTCTGTACAAAATTTCCTTTTCAAAGAGAAGTAAGGAAGTCTTGACAATGGTTGTATAAAGGAGGCTTAGCACGAAACTTTGCGAGAAAGAATTAGTAACGTCATCGGCGAAGTCTGTGTTTGTCAGTTTACTTTTTGCCTTTTATAGCGTCATAAGTTGTGTTGTCGTTACGAATACTTTTCGCAAATTTTCATGATAGACCCCAGTTTTTTGTCAGTGGTCATGCTTACTAGCAAGTGTAGATAAAATTCCTGTAGTGTTATAGAAGTAAGTATTACAGTTCGTCCACACAGATATTTTCCTAAAGCAAACTTATCTTAAAAAATGTCAATAAGTAATGTTCATATCAGGATATCAACATTAAAGTACCTAATTTCTACCTCGATTAATGTCCTCAGTTACATAACGTTTGTGATCATAATCTATACTATAATAAAGCGTAAACACACACTTTGTTGCTTAAGCTGTCAGCAATTGTAGCATATTTTTGAATAATTCTTTTTGAAATAATAAGTCCTACACTTACATCATGCTTTAGACTATGAATTTTCACGCCATTAAACATAGGGGTTAATATTTTGGATAAACATCCTAATGTGGGAAAGAGACCATAAGTTGCTGCCAACACCAAGAAAGCAAAATTGCCATAGTAAGGTAATTGGTATTTTGACATTTGCAATTAATTATTTGACACATGTAAACTATAAAATAACATTTTCATAAGTTGATGCGGATGAAGTCGCAGGGGAACAGCTAGTATTAACTATTTATGGAGTTTTCATTATTTAATTTTCTCAAAGTGTAACTAAATAGTACTGTTCATACATGTTTTCCGAATTTAATGAAATATTATTTGGTTTATGTCAAGATATATTGATATCGTGAATGATTGGTTTTTATTATTTTCAAATTCGAGTGTTAGTACTAAAGATATTTGCAAATGTTTTTTTTTAAATAGATTTTTTTTCTCGAAAGTTTTAATGTAAGCGGTATTGTAATTAGACATTTGTGTGGTTTTTGTGTAAAATGTTTGGTTTGGTTTTATGTAGCACAAATATTTTAAACTGAGTTTGAAGTATTTTTTTTTGTATGGTAAAAATGTTCATAGTTAGTTACGAATTGAATGTTATTGATAAATTAATAGTAGGTAATAATAGTTTGTAACAATTTAGTAGATATATCAAAGCATAATATGTATTTTGCTATAGATCAAGATGTTTTTATTCCATCTAACCTAGTGAAATAGATGTGTAAATTCTGAAATATTCAGATTTTCGAAAATATACTCAAAAGTTTTTTTTTTTTGTAAACCATGTAATTTATTCACATGAGGATAATATTGTATATTTTGCTATTTCAGTAATTTATTTGAAATTGCATTTAGTGTAAATATTGTATTTAATGAGCATTTGTTTATATTACGATTTTTGAAGTATCAATGGCGTTGTTTTGTTTGTAATTTAATTTTAATAAATTGTTTACTTTTACTTTTTTTCTCTTACTAATAAATCTAACGTGTGTTGGCAAAACTGAGAACAGGATTGAAAATTGTTCGATAAAACTGAACGTGTATAGCAGGCTTAAGAGTAACATAGCTTTTTGGTTCAAACGCTGTTTTAAATAAAAGAAAACCGTCTGTATATATGTTTATTTGGTTTCCATCACAATTATAACGATTGCAAGATACTTTCTCCATTTAAATATCCAACCAATCAACCTACTTACAGATTCGTCCACACAATAATAACTTAAATTAATTTTCATAACCGTTCGTTCAGCAAATTAATTACAAAGCGACTAAAAGCAAAGAAAATTGTCTCTGTACATTATGCGTGTTTTCTAATTTTTTTTTCAAGAACAAAAAAAATTGATCACCTTCAGTACACAGCACAAAAATCTAATAGACAATTTAAAATTCCACCTACAATAAAACAAAATCATTTTCTCTTATGCAACATCACGAACTTCAATTGGGATGGATGAAGCGATCTAATGGGTCCTAAAAATGCTCCGTGTGTTGTTCGTGGCGAGCTTCTAGATTCTTCTGGTCTGGTGTAGGATCATTTGGCGCACGCTGAATGTGGATAGACCGAGACCGACCGCAGCGAGCACGAAAGCAGATCGCGACATCATTTTATCACGATTAGCTGGCTGGAAATAAAAAAAAAAACATTAATTACAAAAGAAGTAACCCGTGTTCTTCCAAACTTTCTACATCTATGCCAAATGTCAGCGAGATCCGTTCTGCCGTTCGGAAGATACATAGCTATATCCATCCATCTAAACTTTCGCATTTACTACTTAAATAACAATACAAGTACAATTAAAAAAACTCTAAATTCGTAGGAAAATTATTAACCCTTATAATTTTGTATTTATTAATGAACAGATAAAGATAAACTGTAAACAAATATTACGTGGGACCAATACAGATACAAAATACGCAGTCATGTGAACAGTTTATATTTAAAACTAGCCGACACCGGCGCCATTCGAAAATAGATCCTGCTGTATTGTTCATAAAGGCTAAGGCACGTGAGTAATAAAACGAGACAATCCGTTTAAATCTAGGTGTCGACCTTTAGGATGTAGTATTTACTAGTTTCTACCAGATTTTAACGAGGATATTGCTACTTTTATAATTTTGTATGAAACCTAGTTGCCAGTCACAATATTTAATTGGAACAAAGTTTATTCCTGCCGTCCAATATTCAGTACGAATCGGACTTTGTAATATTATTGTTATTGATCAAGTACAAAATCATTATGACATCAAAGTTCGAAGGAATTTGTTATAACAGAGTGAACATTTAAAAAGTCACGATAGGTTAAATTGATACACAAAGAGAATTAATTAAGAAAACTGTAAATATAAAAGTTACAAAACATTTCTGTTTGAACTCCCAATGTGTGAGAGTTTACGAGACTTTAAATCGGTTCGGTAATCGGTTTTCAAGATCGTGATAAACTTAACTAAGTTTTTATGAAATAAAAAAGATAGTAATAGACAACAAAGAAAAACATGACTCATAAGTCTATTGCGTATTTAGGCAATAAATAACAGATTTTTTTAGAGTCCTCTTACCGAATGAATACATTTTTTTTATAATATTAGGTGGCAAACGAGCAAGCGGCCTGAATCCACCGGAATGGAAAGCAACCGCTGCCCATAAACATCCGCAATTGCAGATATGTTGCCTACCCTTAATTGACAGAGGAGGAGACGCACATAAAGAGGACTTTTCCTCTTTCAATGCGTCTCCTGGAGGAGACGGTGGACCGTTAAATCCATTTTTCCTACCCATCCTTTCTTCTTAAGAAAAGAGTGGAAAGGGAAAGGGACTAAAACACAACAATATTTTCATGTTTCTAATATATTACTTTTCCGTCATTACAGCAAATGATTAAAAGAAAAACATTACATAACGTTTTTGGCACTGTTTAGTTCGTTGGCGCCTCTTAGACTGAAATACATATAATATGTAAGTAAATACGCCACGCCCACG